AAATACAATTTTCCGTAGATAAAACTTTAATTTTATGGGAAGAAATACAGACACAGTGTGCATGTGCAGCAAGTCAGCATATAAGCTCGGGATTCCCCGTGAGATGTGTACACAGCGCACGTGTTCAAACACAGTAGCATTTAGTAGAGTGCGATAAAAACAAAAAAAAAAAAACTTATTTGGAAAACCGTGTAAAAGCGAAAACGTGTAAAACAAGTACCGTGTAAATCGGGGGATAGGTGTATAGATAAAGGAGCAAACAAAAATTCTAAAAAATATTGTGTTGCCATCTATTAGTCTTATTAAGAGTTTTGCGACTGACTCTTGGCTATAACGGAATATCAGTGTTTTGCTATTTTAAGGGCAAAGCAATAAACTGAGTTGTGACCATTTTGTGTTACTATGGCACACGCATGAAGGAAGGGTAATAAAGGAGATTGTTAGGTTATATATTTTGTTTTTTCGTTTTTTTTTATTTGTGCTTTTTTATTTTCTGTCTTTTATCTCTTTTACTGTGTATTATGTGTATGTTTTTTATTGTAATTTGTGTGTTGTAACTAATGTAAATAAATTATCTATCTATCTATCTAAGATCCCATATATTATTTTTTCTTAAGCATTTCCCATGTACAGACATCGTCTAGTACGATTTTTTTTATAATAATAAGATTAATATTATATAGTTACAATTCACAGAATTAAAGAAATAAATACATTTATAACAAGAAATAAATATAATATATTTACTACATTTAGATTTTGTTATACAAAAAAAAACCTTTTATTTTAAAAATCAAACTACGTAACCGATTTAGTTTTAGTATAAATTATATATGTAAATAAATTTAGTCTATGTGACCAATCTCCAAATATATCTTATCAAATAAAAAAAAAACAATTTTTTTCAACAGTTTATTATTATATATTGTAATGATATTATTTATTTATTCAGATGACATAGTTAAATTTTTTTTTAATATTTTATTGTACATATGACAGACGTAATCAAAAGTACAAAGGCGAGCTCAACTCTGATAGAGTTCTCTTCCAGCAACACCCAAAGTGGAAAGGAGCATCAATGTCAGCGGATACAGCAGTGTACAATTTTTAAACAGACAAAATTAAAATAATTACATTATATTTAATCGTACAAATACACATATATATTAACATAAATATATACCCACATCTATGCATATTACACACACAAACACATATACATACAATATACCTACATATATAGATATACATATATATATATATATAACAACTTAGAATACCAAACAAGCCAACGGCCCACCTGATGTTAAGTGGTAACCGTCGCCTATAGACATGAGCAGTACCATGGACATAACAGAGTATACAGTTTCGCCCATGATACCCCCCATGCGTTGCCATTCCTGAGGACTCAGGTGTTACTCCTCTGTACCCAGTAAATTCACGCCATATCCCACCCTTCAAACCGAAACATAGCCATGCAAACACAACTGCTTCACGGTTGAAACACGAATGGGACAGAGGTCGGGTACCCCTGTCCCTCTTCAAAAGCAATCGACTTTTGCACGAAGTCTCCCTCTGGTAAATAAATATATGTTCATAGAGATAGAAGATTTTGTTACTTATAATAAATATTCTTAGTCTATGTTAGTAAATGAGTGGTTAAGACACATTTATATTTATAATCTGTCCCACCCAATACTTTAGCACGTGTACAGTCCATTTTACCGGCAATTGTATCCAGGACACTGAACTAACACCTTTATCTGGGAGGAAAGGGATTGTTAGTAATAGAGACCGAGAATCCCACTGCTAGCAATAAACTCAACCAGGTCGACCTCCTCGTGGTTCCCCCTGGAAACTATCATGGTTAATTCCTGATGAATTCATCATGATGGGCTAACTGGCCTGTTTTCATTCTCATCTATCACCCTTCACTGGTGCTCCGTCAACGTAACCCGTTAGCGCCGACAGGGTTACCATTCCATTTTTAACCACAAAAATATATAATATATAATAAAATAAATGAAAAATATAACACTTTAATTACTACGTTATTATAGCTATAGGCTTTCTTAAAAAATTATAAATAAGAAATAAACAGAAACCCCAATTAAGGTATTTCGGGAAATGAAGATAAAAAAATAAATTTGATTAGAACAAAGTACGTTGATTTGATTACATTACAATACTCATTGACGAATATTACGCGTCAATACCAGAGGGAGACTTTGTACAAAAGTCGTTTGCTTGGGTACCTCTGTCCCATTCGTGTATCAACCGTGCATCAGTTTTGTTTGCATGGCTGTGTTTCAGTTTGAAGGGTGGAATATTTACTGGGTAGTAAATTCACGCCATATCAGAGCAATAACACCTGAGTCCTCAGGAATGGCAACGCATGGGGTGTATCATGGGTGAAACAGTACACTCTGTTATGTCCATGGTACCGCTCATGTCTATAGGCGACGGTTACCACTTTCCGTCAGCTTGTTTGCTATTCTAAATTGTATAAAAAAAAAATGAACACACTTTTACTTGATTTACAACTACATGGAAAAAAACGTACGTTAATTGTATGAACTGATACAATTAACACAGTCAGCAGTCTACAAATCGACGCGTGATTGTATTAACAGGCCGCGAACGCTCGCACGTCTTTCACAAGGCATCCGCAGATATTTCCGTGTAGTGTAGTGATAAATTTACATATTTTTGACATGACAATATAAAATAAACTTTATTGTAAGAACAATATGTAATAAAGTGAGTGGACTGTAAGAGATTTAAATTTTTATGACAAAAATTTTTCACTAGTAAGTACTCGTACGTAGAGATATATTTCTAGATTTTGACCAGAAGATAGTGTAGTGAGTGATAAGGTCATATTTGGGGGAAAGGGATTGTTAGTAATGGAGACTGAGAATCCCATTGCTAGCAATATACCCAACCAGGTCGACCTCCTCGCGGTTTCCCCCGGAAACTATCATGGTTAATTCCTGATGAATTTATCATGATGGGCTAACTGGCCTGTTTTCATTCTCATCTATCACCCTTCACTGGTGCTCCGCCAGCGTATTCTGTTAGCGCAGGTGGGGTTACCATACCATTTTCACCCATCAAAAAAAAAGATCATATTTGATAGAAACTGATTATTTTTTTGCCACTGTGGGCAAAAATATTTACCACCGTTTTTAAGTAATTTTTCCGCTGTAGATATGGGCGATATTGGATTTTTTATTATACAACTTAGAATGGCAAACAAGCTAATGGCCCACCTGATGGAAACTGGTAACCGTCACCTATAGACATGAGCAGTACCACGGACATAACAGAGTATACTGTTTCGCCCATGATACCCCCCATGCGTTGCCACTCCTGAGAACTCAGGTGTTATTCCTCTGTACCCTGTAAATTCACGCCATATCCCACCCTTCAAACCGAAACACTGCCATACAAACACAACTGCTTCACGGTTGAAACACGAATGGGGACACACGAATGGGACAGAGGTACCCAAGCAATCGACTTTTGTACAAAGTCATGAATCGACATACATGTACATACATACTTGTAGTGTTACTCGTCATAATAATACGAAACAATTTGCTCAATTTCGCTCAGTGTTCACTCGGCCATACACATGGTAAGTTAAAATAATGTGTAGTGTATTAGTGTATTATAATAATTCCGACTTATAATTTATACAATTATATTTATTACATAATAATTATTATTACATTTATTTTTATAATTATTTTTAGTTATAATTATTATATATTTGTGTGTTATCTATATTTTATTGTTTGTTTTTGTAATGGAATAATTAAAAAACTAATCGACCGATTTTAAAAATTCTTTCACCTGTAGAAAGCTACGTTATCAGTGAGTAACTTAGATTGTATAGTATTTTCGAAAATTCTATCTATCTATACGAAACAGGGCCGGATCGGTAGTTTATTTTAAACAAATTAAACAATTTAACACTTGTAATCTTATTGAAACTAGTGATCTTCCCGGGATCGCATTGGTTTAAATTGGGATGTATTATTATTATTGTACAATATTTATTTATTTATTTATTCTTTATTGCACAATAAAACTTTTTACAAATGGGGGGGGGGGGGGGGCTTAATGCCATATGGCATTCTCTACCAGCTAACCATTAGGTAAAAACAGAAAGTGTAAAAAGATTGTGGTGATATATTAGGATTATTTATTTATTTATTACATCCACCGGGTGAGCCTTACAGTCTTCCAATACGCTCACCCAGGAAAGCATGAGTACAATAACATATAAAAAGGAATATTACACAAAAATAACAAAAAAAAAAAGAAAAAATAATATAAAAAGATTTAACTCAAACAAAAAACGTCTAAACACAATCACTCTGTGGTCATTCGACGAAACTCCAGCAAGTTGGAGTATATAAAGTGAGGTTTACATCTGCTCGATTTACGTCGAATTTAATATATATTCCATTCTGTAAAACACAGGAAGAAAAGTAAATATGTCTCCTATTGGCAGTATTTTTATTTATTTATTTTGTGTATTATTGTATTGTACATTCAAGCAGATTATTTACCATTATTTAAAATATAAATGTAAAAATGTATCTACATATTTATAATTTTATATTTGCTAAGTAATTGAATAAATTTGTATGGAATTTGTGATTGATTATTAAGTTGATGAAATTTGTCTTATGATATTTTAAAGCAGTTGGACTGGAAACCGCAGTTAGACTTTAAGAGATATGTATATTATATATGTATATTATATATATATATATATATATATATATACATATATGTTAAATAAAACGTAAAATATATAAAAGAGAACACAATGATGACAGTAATATTTTTTTTATATTTAAACAAAGTTGGAAAGATAGACAGTTGTAAATGATTGTCACATTTCGTTTTCGTTCGTAAATGTACGCTAGAACCCCTTGACCCTCCCCCCCATGATTAGTAATTAATTTCTTTTCTTTTGTCCACAGAAAAATGCCAGTGAAGTTCTGACAAAATGGCTCCGTCTTTGGAAACCCTCACGCAACACACGACCCATAATGTGCATTTAAAACGAATTCAGAACATGGAGGGCATCGATGTGGTATCGAATGGAGTCGATACCGTACCGATTATCGATAGTCTTAATGTCAACATGAACGAATTGGACAGGCTATCCGATGTTCAGGAGTTTTATAAAGGGAAGAACATTCTAATAACTGGGGCCACAGGTAATTATTGTTGATTTCCGGATTTGGCGGGAAATCTAGCATAGTTGTTAACATTATTAGCTCTGAAACTGCTAAGTACTCTGTGAAATATGACGTATTCTATCTATTCGCGTGTTTCGTTTAATGCTTCTGGAATCTTGTGAATTTTGCTAATTTCGCCATTTTTAACAATGTAATACATTTCATTAAATAGATTTATAGATTAATAATTTATTTGTATTACTTCAGCATGTAAATAGCGACAAACACAGATTCACAAAAATTGAAAAAAATAAATAAAAGAAAGAGAAATAAAAGGCGATATATATATTTTTTCTTTTCGGTGTGTGCCACAGTAACATAAAATGAAGCATTTCAAAACTATACTCAATATATTAAGGTTAATAAATTTTAACAAAAAAAAAATTGCTAGTAGACTTTATGGGACTCGGATATCTGTTTTTAACTGAATTTCCTTTTTAACACAATTGACCATTTTGACATACTTAATTAAAAACGTTATAAGCTGGTGGCTTACTTGATGGAATATGATGATCATAGTCACTTACAGACATGAAAATCACCATAGGCATTACATAATACAATTTGAGATGCATGGTACTCCAATGATTCGCCATTTTTAAGATCTATGATGATATTTTTATTTAATAGGTGATAATAAAATGGTAGCCTCACCCACGCTATCGGTATACACTGGGCACCAGTAAATGATGATTGGTGAGGATGAAGCAGGTCAGTTAGCCCATCGTGATGAATTCAACAAGAATTGTTCACGATGGTTTCCAGGGGGAACGACGTGGAGGTTGACTTAATAGGTCATATTGCTTGGGGTGCTCAAACTCCATTGCTAACAATCCCTTTCCCCCTTCTATGATGACATTGCCTCCGGATTCAGTGACTTCATTGATATATCCCACATTTCAAACTGTAACACAGCATACTTGCTAGCAGATATATTAATGGACAGAGGTACCTAGGCTTTTATACAGAGCCTTTCTCTATTTTTACGCTAGGTAGGGTTTTTTTTTTTTATTTTATTTCGATTCATTTGCTTTGTTCTCGCAAGTCGTCAATACGACTTAATAATAATAATATTGAGTATAAATATTTTTAGGCTTCCTTGGAAAGATCTTGATGGAGAAACTGCTCAGGTCGTGTCCCGGTGTCGATAATTTGTACCTGTTGGTGAGGCAAAAGAGAGGGAAGGATATCTTCACCAGAATAGAGGAGATATTTGATGACCCTGTAAGTATTTTATTTTTTAATTATTTCTTAAATACAGATATGGATTCCAAAAAGGATTCTCAATTAACTTTATTTTTTTTTACAACTGATTTAAAAAAACTGAAGGTGTTTCTGAATTCGTTTGTACTTTTGTATACGTAGGTCCTCAAATTGCTGACTTTATAGCGTGACAGAATCTAAAAAAAAACCTAACGAATCGAGAACCTGCTCCTTTTAAAAACTTGGTCGCATCAAGCCTTCGCGACCATGACCAGTAATTCGCTGTGTCTATATTTACGTATCCCTTGACACAAATAGCGTAGATGTATTAAAAGAAACATGAGGAACTTGTTTTGTACATCTCAGACACTGCCAAATTGCATTTCCTTTATGCATATACAAATATACCTGTATATTTATTTCACTAAAGATTATTATACCAGACGATAACTATCCACTGCTGAACATGTGAGTAGAGACGAAGTTACATCAAGCAGATTAAGAAAAAAGTTGGCATCTTTCCTTTGAAACCCATTCGTCTTTCTATCGCGAACTAGTTGTGTTTGCATGGCTGTGTTTCGGTTTGAAGGGTGGGATATGGCAGTGAATTTACAGGGTACAGAGGAATAACACCTGAGTCCTCAGAATTGACAACGCATGGGAGGTATCATTGGGGAAATAGTATACTCTGTTGTGCCCATGGTACTGCTCATGTCTATACGCGACGGTTACCACTTTCAATCGGGTAGGCCGTCAGTTTGTTTGCCATTCTAATTTGTATAAAAAAAGGTTGGCATCTAGTCGTATCAAAAGATAAAGAGACTTGCCGAAAATCATATAACGTGGCAAGAGCTCCACCGACAAAGATGCAGCTCTTAAATATAGTGTATAAGGGCTAAAATTAAGTAACAATTGAATTTCGCTGCAAGGTAATACTTTCTACTTTGACTTTTATGCACTTGACTTTGAAATTGTAGAGCATGATACTGGTCAATGATGAATGATATATGACGTCATATACACTGTTTGCGATGAGGAGAGTTCATTGCTAGTAATACGTCCTACCAGAACATCCACGAGATCCCCTGGAAACCAATGTTTTTAATACATAACAATTGATCTAACTTTATCTTCCAACAGCGCTTTGCCATTGTATACCTACCCTTAGTACAGATGGTTGCACCATTCCATCTTCATTCATTAAATAAATATTTGCGATAAACAAGCAATTATATAAGATTTATTTACTCATTAGTAAAGGTATGTGTACAAAGCGGACTCAATGATAAAAGCATTCTCTCCCAATCAACCTTAGGGAAGTGTAAAAATATACGAATGCGATAATATTAGTTTATTAAAGTGTATTTTTTTAATTTCTACGAGTTATTTAACAACTTTAAAAATAATTTTTTTTTAAAAGGAAAGAAACGTTCTCATTTTATTTCTTTCTTTGTTTTCTTACATCAATAATACTTTTATAATGTATTAAATAAATATAACGTATTATTATTCGATCATATAATTGCATCGTTTGTATTATTGACTTCATTGTTGTTAGTCCTTGTAGTGTCACGTTTTAAACAAAATTCGCTGTCATAAGCAAATAACAATATAGCACGTTCAATAAATATCAGAAGATTGTATATTTTTGTATAATAATAATAAATAGTAAAGGTCCCAATTCATTACCTTGAGGTACACCATGAATTTTTGTGTATTAGATTTCTTTAGACTAGAAGCATTGAAGCACGCCTGTTGAGACGAACAAGCAAGTAAGCACAGCCGCTAGAAAGGTTTTTTTATACAATTTATAATGGTAAACAAGCTGACGACTCATCAGATGGAGAGTGATAACCATCGCCTATAGACATGAACAGTACCATGGTCATAATAGAGTATATTGTGTCGCCCATGATACCCTTCGTGCGTTGCTTCATGTAGGTTTTTATATTCAGTTTTAAATCAATTTTTATAGAATTTGCTGCCTGTGACAATTGGAGTTAACATTTTTTGTGGAGCAAAAAGCTGTTGCAAAGTAAAATCTATTTATAGGTATACGATTTCTTGACACACAGTTCCTTTAAGGCCGCGTAGCGCGAATCACAATGTATGCAACAAATATGTAAATGTATATAATCAAACATTTATTGCTTTCGTGTAACGAGAAAACGTCAAATGACTTGCAAACAATGATGAACAAACACCTGTTATGTTCTTAGAATTGTATTCTAAATACATAAGTAGTAGTTATAGTTAGTAACTTGGGAAAACATTGACTCAGTCTCGCCTGTGTGACTTTTTTATGGGTTTTTGAATAACGGTCGGTAGGAGTGATTGCTTTGCACACAAAGTCACCGTTTGTATACATTCCCGTTTTTTGTTTATTATATGTTATAAGGTACAAGAACAGTTTGCAAATAAAAATGAGCCACTGAACCGATTTTGATAAAATTTCTACAGGAAAATTTATCATCTGTCAATTTGTACCATCAATATATTTGTTTCATGCTTTTCTTTTATATATATATATATTCATTATATGTATGTATATCTTATAAACTTTGAATGATGATTCATTGAGTCAAGAAGTAACAAATTATTGAAAAAATATTTATTAATTCCAGGTATTCGATCGATTAAAAAAAGAAGTACCAAAGTTTAGACATAAACTCGTTGTGATACCCGGCGATTGCGAAGCGGCCGGTCTTGGTCTCACGCTTATGGATAGACAAATGCTTATAGAGAAGGTAAGGATAAATTTGTAAATATATAAGAGGATGTTGATTGACTGACGGGTTGACCCATATATCAACACAAAGGCAAAACCGCTGAATCTAAAATGTTGAAATTTTGCAGATAGATTCTTTATATAGCGTAGGTGAACAATAAAAAAGAAGTTTTGTAAATTCATCCCCTAAGGGAGTAAGACTTTCAAAATCCACTCGTATGAAATCACAGAAAAAAGTTAGTTAATAAATAATTTATACCAAGGTCTATAGATTGATGAAAAAAAATCAGGACCATTGAGTCATACCAATCTCTAATATACTGAAAATGCCATCACTCTGTTATATTGATGGTACTGCTGATATTTGTCTTGTTTGTTTGCAAAAAAAAAAAACATTCCTCAAGCTGGGATAGCGGCTGTTATGAGGATAATGTCAAGCAATGAATATCGAGGGGTGCAACCCAGAACACTGAGACGGGTCTGACCGTTCTGGAACTGCATATAAGCCTTCCCTATAAAGAGGATTTTGTCAGGAGTTACCGCACTTGGAAGGCAGGTTGGCAACCGCAGTTGTGATGTTTTAAGAGGGACACTGCTGCCCATTGCTCTACCATTAACTTCTCTTAATCGCCTTATAATGTTAGAGAAAGGAAAGGTGGCCTATTTTATTTCGACACTACACAACGGATATTCACCATTTCCCAAAAAGGATTGATGTCGGGCAGGCAGCCGGTCGTAAAACTAAAAGTCAAACCTTTTTGTAATATGGATAAAAACATATTACGCCGACCCCAAATAATAATTGGGATAAGGGTAGGAAGATGATGACAACGGATATTCACCATTACAAGCACATAATGTTGAACTTATAACATACATATGTAGGTGGCTTCATGTGCCCCAAAGTTGAAAAGATAATCAACTCAGCCTAAAGCTAAGAAATGCTTGCATGGAACAAGATCATTCCATGCAAGATAACGTCCGGCGCCTCATTTCAACTCATGGACTTTTTTTGCGATGACGATTCCATTGATGGATTCGCTTGCCACTTATCTAGAAGACATGATACAGACACTATACAGATAAAAAACCAACTACTTACAAACCTCCCCTTATGACGAGGCCTATGTTTAACAATGGGCAGTTAACGGCTGTTATGATGTCGATAATTGTGACACAAGATCTTAATGTCTTAAGAGTTGGCGCGCGTGTGATACCTCTGGTGTTGCAACTCTTTATGGGCTGCGGTGATTGATTACTATCAGCTGGACTATATGTGCTTGATGCCACTTTCTTTTTTGCTAAATTTGAGTCGGTATTGACAATTCTTCTTCTAATCTATAGGGTTTAAGCCCGTGTTGCCTTCTTATTAATTTTATGATGTCCGAAGTTAAAATTTTTCTCTTCATAAAAATTGACTTATTGCTCAGCAAAATGTATTTACAAACACACAATTCCTCATTATAAGTGTTTTTTTTTTCAATTCAATGCACCTGTGAAACATTGTCGTTTATGGCTGTATTATTATGTTGTAGTTCACGATTGAAGTTGCTTTTATGTACAAAATGTAATTTACAAGTTTATAAGTCAAATGGACTTCTGAACACTATCAACCTATTACATTATAGTCAGATTCAGATAGATATTATCGTAAAAATAGAGACGTTTCGCAAACTGTTTCTATAGTAGCTTGGCTATTGGCTATAATGGTCTTTGATTCTCATTTGAAAGTAGATTGAATAATGCATAATCTAGCAGTACAATGTACGGTAGGCATGCGTGACTTGGCGTTGAAAGTGAAGTGAATAGATCACTGACACTGCACAAAGATTTATCCAAACGCCGTATCTACACATATGGCTGTTTTGACCTAAAATTGAAATTAATAAATCAAATAATAAAAATACTGCGATCAAGATATTAAGATATCAGAGGGAGACTTTGTACAAAAGTCGTTTTTTTGGGTAACTCTATCCCGTTAGTGTTTCTAACGTGAAGCAGTTGTGTTTGCATGGCTGTGTTTCGGTTTGAATGGTGGGATATGGCAGTGGATTTACGGGGTACAGAGATATAACACCTTAGTCTTCAGGAAAAGCAACGCATTGGTGGTGTTTTGTTTTGTGGATGAAAATGGAATAGTAACCCCGCTTGCGCTAACGGGATACGCTGGCGGAGCACCAGTGAAGGGTGATCGATGAGAATGAAAACAGGCCAGTTAGCTCATCATGATGAATTCATCAGGAATTAACCATGATAGTTTCCAAGGGAAACACGAGGAGGTCGACCTGGTTGGGTATATTGCTAGCAATGGGATTTTTAGTCTCCATTACTAACAATCCCTTTCCCCCCGCATTGGTGGTGTTATGAATGAAACAGTATACTCTGTTGTGTTCCTAGTACTGTTCATGTCTATAGGCGACAATTGCCACTTTCTATCAGGTGAGCTATCAACTTGTTTGCCATTCTAAGTTACATAAAAAAAAATATATTGCATACCGAAGTCTTTGGGGGCTGGGCAATGAAATTAAAGTACTATTTTTTTTTTTATACCACTGAGGTGGCAAACAAGCATACGGCCCACCTGATGGTAAGCGGTTACCGTAGCCAAAAGTATCTCACCTGTATAGGGTGAAATTAAAATCACCAGCACCCTCTGGAGGGATCTAAAATATGACAAATTTAGCTTCTCATACTAAGAGGTTATTCAGCGTTTTGTTAGTATAAGAGGTTTCAAATTTCATGTCGTGAACTTCTGATTCACTAAATTTCTGTCCTAATATATTTTATTATTATTATTATTATCTACTGCTGAACATAGACCTTCTCTATAAGGTCAATTTTGCTAGTAGTTGCCACGCTTGGCAGGCGGGTTGGCAAGCAGTTAGTCTTTGGTGATTTTTCAAAAGGGGCATTTCAGCCCATCCCGCGACCTTTAATTTTCCTTAGTCGCCTCTTACGATCTTACGCTTCCCATGGGAAAGGAACACGTGGTCCATTCTATGCCAGAACTACACTATTCTTTCCAAGTGATTCTTGGAATTTAACTCTTGCGCAGGGTTTTTTTTAACGGATGATAATGAAATGGTAACCCCGCCTGCGCTATCGGAATACGCTGACGGGGCACCAGTGAAGGATGATAGGTGAGGATGACAGGTCAGTTGGCGTGACGAATTCAACAAGAATTGTTCACGATGGTTTCCAAGGGGAACCACGTGGAGTTCGACCTAATAGGGCATATTGCTAGCAATGGGGCTGTCAAACTCTATTGCTAACAATCCTTTTCCCCCTCTTGCAAAGGGTAAAGTGAACTCAAAATCATTAGCATCATTTTAAGTGAGCCCTTTATCAATGAAAGCGATCATTTCCCCCGTGACAGTAATTTTGAATCTTTCATTGTATTGATCAAGGTTGGATTCATTACTTTTTTCAACCGACTTAAAAAAAAAGGACGTTCCCAATTCGGTTGTATTTTTTTTACGTTTATTACCTCATAACTTCGTCGGTTGTAAACGGATTTAGAAAATTCTTTTTTCTATCTTAAAGGGCATACATACGGATTGGTCTCATAGAAATTATATCAAAATCGGTCCAGTAGTTTAGTTTTTAAATAAAAACAACTAGTTTTGCTACAATTGAAGTCAATTCTTTTGTAGAAAACAATGATAATTATTTGTGGAGCAAAATAAAGTTGACAGTACTAGTTTCCAAAGATGCTCTCCCTTAGGCCGGTACTGACTATGATAATGCAATGTTCCAGGTCAACATAATATTCCATTCGGCAGCAACGGTCAAGTTCGACGAACATCTCCGAGCAGCTCTCAATACGAATGTTCGGGCGCCGTTGCATTTACTTCGACTAGCGCGGGATATGAAGGGACTGGATGTAAGTGAAATAATATTTTGGTTTAACATTTATTTATTCATAGATATGCCAACAGTATGTTAACAATAATTACAGAATATATATATGTGTATATATACATACATCGATCATATATACATCGATACATACTAAACAGAAATAATAAATACCACGCGGACAAAGTCGCAGGCATCAGCTAGTTATATATATATATATATATATATATATATATATATATATATATATATATATATATATATATATATATATATATATATATATATATGAGACCAAGATCGGCCGCTTCGCAATCGTCGGGCATCACGAGTTTATGTCTAAACTTTGGTATTTCTTTTATATATATGTATATACTGCGAATGTCAAATTCTTCTTGGAAGGTTTATGATCAGCAGTGGACAGTCAACGACTGAAATGATGAGAATGGTGATAATATTATAAATAGTTTTTCGAGCGGCCCTAATATTTAAAAATTCTTTCTATAAGTATATTATATTATAATCATTGATGCAGGTACTAATGCATATATCGACGGCGTATTCCAACTCCCACCTGTCCCACGTGGAGGAGCGGTTCTACCCCTGCGACGCGGACTACGAGCAACTACATCAGAGGATTGACAAACTAACGGACAAGCAAATACGCGATTTGCTACCAACGTAAGAATGCCCAAAATATTTTTAAATCGGAGTTTATTATCTATGTTAATATTAAGAAAAAAGATTTGATTGTTTACTTATTTGTTTATAATGGATTTTTTTATACCACTGAGGTGGCAAACAAGCATACGGTCCACCCGATGGAAAGTGGTAACCGTCGCCTATAGACATGAAAAGTTAAATCGTAATCATTTAAGTTAAATAATTTATTTCAGGATACTAGACGCGTGGCCTAACACCTATACATTTACGAAGGCATTAGCTGAAAAGGAGCTCCGGGTGAATGCGAGAGGCATGCCTATTGGCATATTTAGGCCAGCTATAGGTGAGTTCTGTTAACTATTTAAAGAAACTCCAAGTCATTCAAGAGGTTCAAAAGGTTTTATGGGGAGCTATGTTCGGAGTGCCTGTACCTAAGAATCCAAAATAAGGATACAGGTACAGATAGTTTGAAATATATTTTGGGGTATTGAAAATTGTTTTGGCAGTTAATTTTAAGTTTCAATATGTGGTTCCGGCATAGAACGAACCATCTCTTCCTTTCCTGTATGTCGTAAGAGGGGACTAATGGAACTTAATGATCGAGGGATGAGTAGCAGCGTTCCTCTTAAAACATTACCAAAGTCGCGGTTGCCAACCCGAGTGCCTAGCGTGGCAACTACTGACGAAACCCTCCCGCCAGGCCAATTAACGGCTGATTTGATATGACGAAAATCCAGGCTTAAAGTTATGATAAATTTTCGCTAAAAGATGGCATTGGATATCTTAATCCTTAAGGATAAAATGAACAATACATTCATTATTGGTTACACGCAGAAATAAATAAAGATCGGACGAAAGTATAATACTTACAAATACTTTTTTTTCTATTACGTTTTCAGTAATATCAACAGTGAAAGAGCCGTTGAAGTGCTGGTTGGACAACATGTATGGACCCACCGGTATAGCAGTCGGCAGTGGTAAGTACACTATTTCGAGCAGCTAAAATAATTCTTTATTTTTTCTTTTTTATGATAGAAAAAGACCAAGATAATATGCTAGAAACATACTCGTATATATAACATAAAAATAGAAAAATATAGGTACCTGGAGTTCTAAATCGACTTGTATTTAAACAGATTGATTGCGGATTGTGTTTTGAGGAATAGTTTGAAATGATGCCCATGGCCATCTTTTATTATCACTTCCTATCATCCTCACATGCTAAATGGTCATGTACAGTGTAGTTTCAGAAGAGTTACCTCCCGCGAGTGCTCAGGTTGGTCAATGAGCTCACTGCCAAAGTTTTCTCTGAGCTCATTACATCCTGCAGGCAGAGAGAACTGATTGCCAAAGATCTTAATCCTTACATACATTACTTGCTTCCTGCACTTTCATAACCTATTTCATTAATTTACGCAAGTTTTAGAAGCTCTTGACTTCTGCTTCAGTTTGAACATGATCTATCTGAACATAATAGGTTAGTGTAGGTCGTTCCTAGTATTTACATCTATTCCCATTCCTCATGTATATCTGTTTTGTCATCTGGAATTCCATCCACATATCCGTATCACCGTAGCATCGTTCAGATTATGGAATGAGCTCCCTGGTAAGGTTTTTCTAAGAGACAGTATGAGCTACTTTAAAAAAGGAGTAAAAAGGTTTCTTCTTTCCAAGATCATTCATGATTAGCGATAATATCGCCCATTGTTTTCTTTTTGTGATTATTTCTTGTAATCGTTTGTATCTATAACAAGTTTAGTAAACTTGTGTGTAATCTTTTGGAGGAAACAATAAAGAGTATCTATCTATCTTATTTTATAGGGTCGGAAAAATGCGTCTAATGCCTCTGGTATTGCAGGCGGTCATAGATTACGGTAACCGCTTACCATATCAGGTGCTTCATATACCGTATACGTTTTTGCACCTCAGTGGTATAAAAAAAGCATGGCCTTTTTTATTGCAACACCAACACTTTCTTCCAAACCGAACCTTCCAAAACTCGCTCGCACACTACTGTCGATCTGATAAATGTACGTTCATTTACAGTGTCCGGTATAGTGAGAACATTGCAGTGTGATGAGAATGTGACCGCAGATCTGGTGCCAGTGGACAGTGCTGTGAACTGCCTTATGGTTGCGGCCGCCAACGTCAGCTCAGCGTACAAACAGAGGTACAGATTCAGCAGCCTTCTACTATTTTCTGTCATCGTAATGACCCTCTGAATATAAGCCGCTTCCATAGTGTTGTTTTGTGAGTATTTTGAATTTAAGAGACCATTTCATATGGAACTCTTTTAATACAAGAAAGAGAAGACGGGGACATTGCCATGGATTGTCCCCTTTCCGCATTCTCTCTGTAAATAATAGTGATTGATTAACTAACTTTTCTTCAGTCTCCACTAATATTCTTCAATGATACCCTACTAGTGTATATTACCAGAAACACATTGGTACTATGGGTAGAGTTGTCATTCCATTTTATTATTCAATTTTTAACTGTTAAAAAGTAGATAGTATATTGTTTTTTTTTTAACGTATATATAAATTAATTTACAGGTCACCCCCTCAAGAACCGCCGATATATAACTTCGTGAGTTCTGTAGAGAATAGAATAACGTACGGTGACTTCATGGAGAAGAATGTGGCAATGGTCGACAAGTATCCATCTTTGAACGCTGTCTGGTAAGAGTTAGCATTCCCTGTTCTATTTGACCAAGATTTTAAATCCCAAAAGAGATATGAGGTGTGGTGATGAATGTCAAATTAATATATTGGTATTTTAAATCGACTTCAAAAAAGAGGCGGTTCTCTCTTAGGCTATATCAGAGGGAGTCTTTGTACAAAAGTCGTTTGCTTAGGCACCTCTGTCCCATTCGTGTTTCTACCGTAAAGCAGTTGTATTTGCATGACTGTGTTCCGGTTTGAAGGGTGGGATATGGCGTGAATTTACAGGATACAGAGGAATAACACCTGAGTCCTCAGGAATGGCAACGCATGGGAGGTACGAGTATCATGGGCGAAACAGTATACTTTTTTATGTCCAGTGGTAATCGTTGCGAACGATATTTTGACGCTGTACCCTATAATTTTACTACAACGTAATCCCTCAACATAGGTCGGGTCGTATGCTCGTTTGAGGTTATACTGTAATATTAATCTATTATTTTTATTTACAGGTACCTGACGGTAACTCTGACCAAATCACTTCTAATGTATAAAATTTATATATTCTTTCTGCATCTGCTGCCTGGCGCGTTCTTTGACGTGCTGGCTCTCTGCATAGGAAGGAAGCCCAAGTTAGTATTAACTAACATGTTGGTAGTTAATGATTAACCTGGACAGATGATGAACATTTTGTCTGCAGATATTTGTTCAACATCATTAGCATCTTCATCTCAGACATTATCTGTCCAGTGTTGAACATAGGCCTTCCCCATAGACTACCATAAAGAACGGTCTACTATGCTAAGGAACTACGCTTGCCAACTTACCTGCTGAGCGTGGCAACTACTGGAAAAATGCCTTTTATGGGGGATGCCTATATTTAACAGTGGACAGTTTATTAATTGATATAATACCATGATGATGATATCAATCAAGTTACTTTAATTTCTTTCAGAATGCTCAAGGTATATAAGAAGGTCCATAAGTTCTCATCCCTGCTGACCTACTTCTGCATGCGGGAGATCAGTTTCTGCAATAGAAATACAAGGGAACTCTGGCAGAAGACTTCTGATAGTGATAAGCAGGTATGCGCCAAGTACTGCCTTCTCTTCAAACTTTTCTTTATACATGTGGTTAGAAAATGCATATTCTATATCAAGTTTTTTTTTTCTATGGGTGAAAATGGTATGGTAACCCCGCCTGCGCTTACGGGATACGCTGGCGGAGCACCAGTCAAGGATAGATGAGAATGAAAACAGACCATTTAGCACTTCATGATGAATTCATCAGGAATTAACCATGATAGTTTTCAGGGAGAACCGAGACGAGGTCGACCTGGTTGGGTATATTGCTAACAATGGGATTCTCAGTCTCCATTACTAACAATCCCTTTCCCCCCTATCAAGTTATCTGGCCAGATGGATTTATTATATATATTAGATATGTAATAAAAATTGATAAGGGGAATGGAAGCCAAAACATTTCTTTCTCTTCTTTTTAATTGTCTTTAGAATATATATATATATATATATATATATATATATATATATATATCTTATTCATAGATTTAATGCAGTTGTGATAGAAGGAGAAGAAGATATATTGCTAGTCAAATTATTTAGATGATAAATACTGTCACGCGTAATTCTATGAAGGTAGAAGGTGTTATACCACAGATGTGTTCTTCTTTCCCCAGCTGTTCCCGTTCAGCATGAAGGAGATGAGTTGGGACGATTACTTCGAGGAGTACCTGGCGGGCATCAGGCGGTACATATTCAAGGAGAGCGACGACACGTTGCCTCGGGCCAGGTTAAAGTGGAAAAGGTAGGTGGAAATCCCGGAATTTTTTTCCTCTTTTTCTATAAACTCGGTAGAATTTTTACGATACGCCAAATGTAATAATCTATACATATTTTATTTATCCATTTCGGGCGTGAAATAGTATTTTACGGTATTTCAGCATAGAAGATACGTTGGGATAGCTAAGGTAAAGCAAAATGGCAATGATAAGGTAAAGCAAACCGGTGGGAGACTGTATAAAAGTCGAGATACCCAAGTAGGGTATCTCTGTCCCGTTCGTGTTTCTACCGTGAAGCAGTTGTGTTTGCATGGCTATGTTTCGGTTTGGAGAGTGGGATATGGCAGTGAATTTACACGGTACAGAGGAATAACACTTGAGTCCTCAGGAATGGCAACGCATGGGGTGTATCATGGGCGAAACAATATACTCTGTTATGTCCATGGTACTGCTCATGTCTATAGGCGACGATTACCACATTTCATCAGGTGGGCCGTCAGCTTGTTTGCCATTCTAAGTAGCATAAAAAAGTGAGACATGTGCCAGTCATGATCATGAGAATAATTATAAATTATTATTAAATGACTTCCGAAAAATTGTATAAAAAATTTGATTTTCAAAAGAGCTTTTAAGTGGTTTGTTATTTTTTGTGTTTTTTGCAATGTAATTACGTCATATTTACTGAACCGATTTGGATATTGATTGAAGCGATTATTTGTATCTACTTGTAGACACATTTGCGCGTTGTAGATTAAAATATTTTAAATGCAATGTGTCTACAAACATTACGCTATGTGTAGATGCATGCAATTTCTTCTGAAATAAGAGTGAATCAATATTAATTTTGTCACAAGTGAAGTCAAAATCATAGCAGGACAGTGTATAGAAAATGTGTATGTAACATTTTTGTTCATTTACATTACCGGATTATATATTCGACACAGTTTATGTAGAAAGTATGCAAGCAGGTTATATTTGAATTTGGTAGGGTTATACGGCCGTATGACATTTTCTATACATCACTAGCCTGTTACGAATTGACAAAAATAGCAACAGATGGTGTATCTTTTGTCCTCTTTTTACTAATTTATTGCCATATATTGAAACTTTCGCCTTGTTGCAACGACGAGCTATGAGAATTGTCGATGATCCCAGGCTTACAAGCGATATCGAACCCTTAAGTCTTAGGAGAGATTTTGCCTCACTCTGCGTGTTCTACCATCGTACGGCTTGCCTCAATGGTCGCGTACTGCGCAGTTTCAGAGATGTTTCCTCCCATGAACACTCGGGTTGTGGAACGAGCTCCCTGCCGAGGTTTTCCCAAGAGACTACAGCATGGGATTCTTCAAAAGGGGGGTAAAGAGGTTTCTTCAGGGTCGGCAACGCACGCGTAATACCTCTGGTATTGCAGGTGTTCATAGGCTAGGGTAACCACTTACCATCAGGTGGGCCGTATGCTTGTTTGCCACCTCAATGGTATAAAAAAAAAATATTTGCATAAGAAAAAAGGAGGCAACCATATGATTTACAGTTTTAATTTTATTATTCCTTCTGTTTAGTTTCTTAGGTTGTTCTTAGGTTTATTTATTTATTTTTTTGTTACAGATTATACTACCTACATCAGGTAGTGAAAACTATTTTTTGCTTCCTGGCGCTGTACGCACTGTGGTCAGTACTATCAAGTATATGCTAGTGTATTATATATATATATTTGATAATGTATATAAATGTACATACTATGTTACCGAACTAAGGGCATTATTCACTTCTAAATCTGAATCTGGCATTCTGTTTTTTACATTTATCATCATCATCATCAACTCAGCCGTTTTCTGTTCACTGGTGAATATAAGCTTCCTCCATAGACTGCCATAAGGAACGGTCCTGAGCCACTTGCATCCACTGACTCCCTTTAAAGTTTTTAATATTATCAACTTTTAAATACAAATTACGAAGTTGAATACATAATTATATAAATAGTACAGTAGATGGTATCTCTAAAACAATTTTAATTAGAGATTTAGTTAGTTAAAGTTCCTGGATGTTTTTAACTGCGAAAATCTTGTCTCTTGCTGACGAAAAACAAGAGGTCACCTTTTCTACTCCGATACGTCGACCGTCTAGTTTCGAATAATCAATTAGAAACATTGAAAATACTTCAATTGTTTTTGAAAATTTAGAAACAATTTGTCACGCTTCGTTATGAAGACTTTTAGAAATGTATACAGTAGAATCTCCATTATCCGAATCAAATAAAACCAGGAGTATTCCGTATAATTGAAAATCCGGATAATCGATTTTAAAGTCAAATCAAAGTATAAGTATAATTTTTTTTTTATATAATGTAAAGTGTCTTACATACGTCATTTAGAGAACAAGATATAAAAAAAAAATACGAGCCATAAAGATTACGATGTATGTAATTTGAAATTTTGGTTGGAAATAATTAGTTAATAATCTTTGACGTAATGAATCACATCTTTCATTGCGGTCAAGTCTCTGATGCGCTTCAGTTATAACAACTGTATTGGATCCGATTCGTCCTGTCCCGTCCGGATAATCAAATATTCGGATAATCGATATTCGGATAACCGAGACTCTACTGTATTTATTAATTTTTAATATTCATTTATCGAGATTCTACTGTATTTATTAATTTTTAAATATAACAGATGCCAGATTCTTCGTTGTCCTTAAAAATATCAATTCTGTTAGTCATTATGTATTTAATCTTGGTAAACACACGTGAGGTGGCATCCAATTTTTAATTGAGATATACTAATTTATAGTTTTACTTAAGTATTACTTAGTTTACTTGATAATTTATTGCGTGTAAGCGACACATTAGATTTCTCAATTCAGAAATTGTGAATGTACCTATGTTTTTGGTATTATTTTGTACAATATAACAAAATGTTTATAATAAAAAGAAAAAATGTAAAAACATGTCTCTTTCTGAAATTAAACCCACATATTAAGTATACTGATTTTTTTTTAATTTAATTCCCATTAAAAAATCGAAAATGGATAGTCATTAATTATTATATTATCATTATATTAAAGTTTTATATTTAGATGTTGTAGGCGTCCACAGGCTACAGTGACCGTTTACCATCAGAAGTGCTGTATGCTTATTTACCACCTTCGTGGTATAAAAAAAGTCATATCCTTGCTATTATTTTTTTATTATTATTTGAGCCGTTAACAGTCCATACACATAAGCTATCCCCATAAGGGGTGTTTTGCCAGTAATTGCCACACTTAGCAGGCGGCTTAGCAACGACAGTTAGGCTTTTACAGGGTTACCATTACGTTATCATCCATAAAAAAAAAACGTAGGTACAGATGGACAGAGGAATATTTTATATTTATATATAACAGATTTTGTGTAATAATATACCTACTTAGATAGCGCCACCGCAATGTCATTAAACATTATCTTATATTTGTTTAATTGGTTAAGTAATTACCTACCAAATAATGAATATTAAGGTGCATACACACGGAAGTGTGTTTTCAGTAATAAAAATTGTGTTCCAAAAAACTACTTAAAATGTGTCAAAATTGGTTATTATGATTTAAAAAAAATGTTCTAATTTTCAAATTGGAATAACTTTCAATAGTTTCTAATGAACGGATATTGATAAATTTTCCAAAGGACCATATTTGTGATATTTTTACTGGAAATATATATATATTTTTTTATAGTTGAGAACAAACCTGAGGATCAACTTACCTGACATGAATAGGCTTTAGTGGCCATAGGGTTTAAAAAATATATTGTTTACATATACGGTTTTGTTGTGTTCCACAATATTTCAACTATGGCAATATTAGGTATTTTTATTTAAAAATTATACTACCGAATGGATTTTAACAAGTTTTCTATAAAATTAATCTATAAGCATAGCTTTTCAGATAAAAAAATCCAAATCGGTTGAGAACAGGCAGAGTTATGAGGTAACAAACTTAAAAAAAATACAACTAATTGAAAACTTCCTTCATTTTGAAGTCGATTGAAAAGAAAATGTACATATGTTTATGTTTTCAAAATTATTTAAAAGTAGCGAGTTCTCAATTCGTTATAGAATTGAAATAATAAATTACCAGAGGGAGACTTTGTACAAAAGTCGATTGCTTGGGTACCTTTGTCCCATTCGTGTTTCAACCGTGAAGCAGCTGTATTTGCATGGCTGTGTTTCGGTTTGAAGGATGGGATATGACGTGAATTTACTGGGTACAGAGGAATAACACCTGAGTCCTCAGGAATGGCAACGTATGGGGGTACATACTATGTTATGTCCATGATACTGCTCATGTCTATTGACGACGGTTACCACTTTCCATCAGGTGGATCGTCAGCTTATTTGCCATTCTAAGTTGTATAAAAAAAAAAAACTTTATGAAACAGAGATGTTACAAGCTCTTTCAAATCGTCATCTCTTATGAGAATTACACTACATCGTTCGGACAGGTAGATAGAATTTTCAAATATAATATATATCTTATGTTATTTGCTGATAATGTATCTTTATATAGGTGAAAGAATTTTTAAAATCGGTTGAGTAGTTTTTGAGTTTATTGGTTACAAACATACAATCAAATCTTTCCTCTTTATAATTAAACTATATATAATATTACTTAAGACTATTTATTTTGCATAATTGGAAAGTATTTTCATAGACAAGTAAAAAAACCTGGATTACTTTACGTGTATTTTAATCGAAAATGCTTGGTTAGTTTCGGAACCATCCGTGACACTTGGTTATGAGTGGCCATGACGCGAGCTAGAGCTTGATAGCGAAGTGAAAACTGAAATTAGTCGAACGTTCTCGACTAAAATATACGTAAAATAATCCGAATGTTCTTAAATTAAAATATATTTAGAAAATTTTTAACGATAAAATTGGACTAGTTGTCGTGAAAATTTCATTAGTTAAGGCCGAGCCATATTGCATGGGTTTCTCGTCGTGCTGAATGGAGTCTTCGTTCAAGTTATGCGTTTAATGAATTCGTTTCACTCGATGAAGCTCGAGGTTTTGCAAAAAAAATTGTTTGCATCATTGCATCACTGAATTGCAACGTTTCTCGGGCTCTGTCTTGAAGGTGAACAGTAGCGACGTATTTTTTTTTATACAACTAAGAATGGCAAACAAGCTGACGGCCCACCTGATGGAAAGTGGTAATTGTCGCCTATAGACATGAACAGTAACTAAGAACACAATAGAGTATACTGTTTCATTCATAACAACGCCCATGTGCCAACTGGCCTGTTTTAATTCTCATCTATCACCCTTCACTGGTGCTCCGCCAGCGTATTTCGTTAGCGCAGGTGGAGTTACCATACCATTTTCACCCATCAAAAAAAATTATGTGGCACTTAGGTATTATTATATTATTATTTTTAGTAGATAATATAATTTATTAATTATATTATCTGTGGGTAATATCAATACTAATGCATTTCTATTTCAACTGTAATTATTTGATTTAGAATTTAGAATCATAGCCCCCAAGATACAGGTGTGGCCTAGTTTGGGGACTGATGGTAATGTAGATATTTCCTCGTTGAATATAAATTGTAAAAATTGTAAATTGTACCTTATGCAACTGTATCTTTCTTAAATAAATATTATTATTATTAAATAGCAAATGTAGATATATGAAAAAAAAAATTTGGAATAACAATTATTCTAATTTATGAATCTAAATAACCCAATTAAAATGCAGTTGAAAATACAGATATCATCAATAAAACTATATTATGACCCTTCAATAGATACGTTAATTATGTAGCCACTATACCTAGGTATGATATTAATAACTGTTTCTCTTATCTGTAGGTCGACATCATTATTATATTCATCATTCTATCACACCGAAGCGATTTTATTTTAAAATCTAGCGGCCCGTCCAGGCGTCGCACGGGTGGACATTTTTACATTTTAAAAACTGGCCATTAAGGCTGCACACGCGACGGAAGCTTAAAAATGGTGTAACTTCTCCCGTTTTCCCAACATTTCCCTTCACTGCTCTGCTCCTATTGTACGTAGCGTGATGAAAAGTATACTACAACTTGCTCAGGAGTATAAAGAATAATTGTACCAAGTTTCGTTAAAATCGATCGAGAATTTTTATTTTTCTATAACGAGCATACAGACAGACAAAAATTTTACTATTTGCATTTTTGGCATTTAGTTCGCCTTTTGTACCTTATTTAATTTTGGTCAATATAGTTATTTAAATAAATAAATAAAAGCTTTGGCAAAACAGAACGCGGCGAAAAATTGAAAATTTAATATAACAAATGGCAATTATTGTTTTCTTTTTTTTTTCTTTTTTTTTTATATACCATTGCGTAGACTCATATATTTCTCTGTTTTCTGTTGTAACTATGTGTTTTTCTAGCAATAAGTATTTTCTATTTTATACTATAATGTTATTCATATAAGTCCAAGTGGAAAGGTAACAATGATTACCTGATAATAAAAGTAACAGATTTAATATTTTTCCTAGAACATAAGCATAGAGTTTTCATATTCAAAAATATTTCAAATCATATTTTGATAGTCATTAAACTTTAGTTGTTTTTTTTTTATTCTAAAAAATTTTCCTAATTTAAAAATCTAAAATAAATAAATCAAATATAAAAAAAATATACAAATAAAAAAATTATTAAATTAACGAATTTCAACAATAAAAGTGATTTTATTGATAAATTGACCAAGTATTAACGATGTTCTAATATTATTTTTATTACGTTACTATCTAATAAAGTTACTCTTGAGAGCCATCTGTAAGTACGTCGTGACGGTACAGATAATCAAATTGGATTCGCTGAAATTGTACGTATTCATATTCATTCAGTATTGTTTTAGCCGTAATCCGGCGCGCACGTCTGAGTGTACGTTTCGGATACTAGATAAGAATAAATTGATAAAATAATATAATATGAAAACAATTTTATTGTTCTTATAACATAATTGTGCGGTGACGAAAAATGATGACAACATTTCTGTTTATAATTCTCTTTTGCGTGGGAGTGCACGGCGAGAAGGGGTATAGATTGAAACAAGTTTTAATATTGAGTCGACATAACATTCGTGCACCGTTGAGTGATGATTTGCAAAGAACTACGGACCTAGAATGGCCAACATGGAAAACTGAAGTGACACATCTAACAGCAAAAGGAGCATTACTGGAGGGTTACATTGCTAACTACATTGCAGAATGGTTGAAGAAAGAAGGTCTAATTGACGACACGTGCCCTACGAAAGACGAAATTCAAGTATACGCGAATACGTGTCAACGCACTAAGGAAACGGCAAAAGCATTCGTCAAGTCCGCTTTCAAAAATTGCAACATCACTGTTTTCTCCAAAAATACAGACAAAATGGATCCTGTTTTTAATCCAATTATACATAATGTTACAGATGAATTTAAGGAAATTGGTGTTAGAGCAATGAAAGATAAACTAGATGCGTTGAATATGAAAGATGCATATGCATTAATTGATAAAATAATCGACTTCAAAAATTCTGATATCTGTAGAACTGAATCAATCTGTGACCTAGTCAACGATAATAATAATATCATATTTGAAGTTAACGAAGAACCAAATATTTATGGACCATTGTCAATCGTTAATTCCGTAGCAGACTTCTTTCTTATGAGCCTTTATGAAGGATTTGCGCAAGAAGACATCGCATGGGGAAAATTGATAGAAACACACGACTGGAGGTTGTTATCTGATATAGTACGAGAAAATCAAATCATAAGATTCGGTAGTTCCATTTTAGCCAAAGATGTCGCAAAAACATTGATAAAATATATGGCAAATATTTTTTTTAATGAGAAAAGCGCGCCAAAGTTAACTTTATTGGTCGGCCATGATTCTAATTTGAATTCTGTTATGACTAGTTTGGGTTTTAAACCTTTCGAATTGCCAAATCAATATGAACGGACGCCTATTGGCGGGAAATTGGTATTTCAAAGATGGAGTGATGAAAAAGGTGGTCGTGACTTGTTGAAAGTTAATTATGTGTATCAAACCGTAAAACAATTGCGACACGGCACTCCACTGTCGTCAGAGAATCCACCAAAATCAGTTACAATGGAAATTGAGGGGTGCGAAATTAATGAAAGAGGATTTTGTTTGTGGGACGATTTTGTTAAAATTCTTACAATGTTAGATTAATTTTTTCCCAAAAAAAATAATAAATAAAAAGAAACTTAAAGTTTTAACTATCAACGAATTAACAGTAGTAAATTAATTATAATTATTAAACCAATGCACGTGTTACTGTTATTATTTCCTTCTATACTTATTATAAAGAAGAATTACATTTTGCTCTACAAAGAAATCAGCTATTTGATCGCAACTAAATAAATATTGATCATGCTATTTTTATTTTAAAATAAAAAAAAAGTAAAAATGACTTTGCACAGCAAAGAACAACGGTGACTTTAATCGTCAAAATTAATGGACATTGGATCAATACAAAAGAGATTATTGAAATTTGTAACATATATCATGTATATTTATTATTTTAATTCAAATCAGTTTTATATAGGGCATCTTGGGTCACCATAATGCATAAACTTCGTAACAGACTGAAAATGCAACCACAAAAACGAAACCAAAATTACATTTGTGTGCGTGAAACGTAAGTGTAAGCATGGAACAGTGCTGCACCATGCACATTCTATCGTTATATGATTTATCGATACTTATAAGCAAATATAAGCTCAAAACTTTCGAACAATTTTATTTAACAATTAATAATTTTAAAACTTAACAATATTTTATGTACATATTATGTAATAATCGTGTATAATATATGATATCACACATATAACAGTGTATTTATAATCAACTTAAAAAAAGAGAAGGTTCTCAGTTCGGTTGTGTTTCTTCAGAAATAATATCTTTTAACATTGTTTTCTCATTGTGATTATTTCTTGTAATTGTTTATATCAACAATAAGTTTACTATTGTAATCTTTTGGAGGAAATAATAAAGAGTATCTATCTATCTATCGATATGTATATAAATGCATCATTATAAACCAATTAGGAAATTTCTTTTTTATAATTAAAAGGAAATATAGTCGAACAATAATTGATTAAAAAAATTAATAAACTAATTAATAGAAAATTTATTAAAATCGGGTCAGTAAATTAATTTTTAAGTCAAAATTACTGGTTTTGCCACGATCAATGTATGAATAAATTGTCATTATTGAAGGTTGAAGTGTTATACTTTCATGTTTCATATTTTCTTTTATTAGAAGAAAACCTTGTACAAAAAACATAGGATACTTCACCCTTAAAACCGAAATACAAATAATACGACAAATACGAAAGAATTTCCTTTTCGATTTAGGTAAAATACATGTCAAAATCGGCTCACAATTAGCAAATATATTATTGACGATATAACCTCAAATATATTACTGGGATTTAAAATGTCACAAATAAGATAAAAATTTAAATCTTTTATTACAATTGATTAAGGATGACATAATTTGATTTGTTTCTTCAGCGGCCATTAAAGAAATTATGGTTTTTTTTTATTTGTATATAATTAATATATTTAGTTGCGTATGTAACGACCTGTTTGTCTTCGTCAATTTGTTGTATCAATACTATCGATATGATGTCATTGACACTTCTTGCAATCTCTAAGAAATTGAAGTTAGAATTTGGGAATATTCACGTATTTATTATTATTTTAATTTGAATATTTGAGACTTAATAATTAGTTAACAGAGTATTAATAATTAGTTTAAATGTGGCATTTTTTCTGTCGAGTTTGCCATTAGTTGCCACGCTTGGTAAGCGGGTTGGCAAACACAATTAGGCCTTTGGAGATGTTTTAAGAGGAATGCTGTTGCCCATCCTACGCCCTCCCTTAGTCGCCTCTTACTACATACACGGGAAAGGAAAGGGTGGCCCATTCTATGCCGGGACCGACACGGTATATGTATTACCTAGTATAAATTGGTATATTTTTTTACTGACAACACTAAAAAATAACGTCATAGATTAAATCCAATTTATAAGTGTCACTTTTGACTTTGACGTTTAACTGACAATGCGCCATTGACTTACTTTTGGCAAAGAATATCTCAGTTAGCATTACTATGTTTTGTTTTAGTATAAAAGTGTGAAATATAACCTATGGAAACCTATGGAAGATAATGTTCATAATGCCAAATTATTATAATTATTAATCAATTAATAAGATTTTTTTGTGTTTCGTTGTATTATAAAAAACATACTGCGAAATGTCAATGGGTAGCTTTAGAATAAGTATCTAATTATAATGATTGGTTATTAATTGTCTCTCAATGTAGGCACAAGGTTATTTTTAACATCAGCTTATTATTAATTTGTATTACTTATCATAATAATTATCATACATACATTATTAGGTTACTGCTTTCGCAATTAACAAATTAAGATGACAGTTTTTCTGTTGGCGTGGGCCCAAAGCGAAGTGTTTTCTTTGTGTCGTAGAAAATGTATATTATAAAATATTTTTTATTCTTTTGTGCCAGTATTACGATTGTAAATACAGAAAAGAGATTTTATATGAAACAAGTGATAATTTTAAGTAGACATAATTTGAGAACGCCATTGTCTAAATACTTGGAAATTATGACACCGAAGACTTGGCCAGCGTGGAAGGAAAAGAGTGGATACTTGACTGCTAAAGGTGCTTTACTTGAAGGATACATGGGTGGATTTTTCTCTGACTGGCTGAAAGAAGAAAGTGTATTATCGAGTGGTTGTCCTGCTGAGGATGTTTTTTACGCCTATGCCAACATAAAACAAAGGACAATAGCTTCCGCAGAGGCCTTTGTAAACCGGGCATTCCCCAACTGTAATATTACTATCCATTATAGCAGCACTGTAGATCCTATATTTAATCCAGTTATTCATAATAAAACTGCAGCTTTCAAAGATTATGTTATTAAAGAAATGAAGGCACATTTAAAATCGTTAAAACTGAACGATTCGTATGATCTTTTAGGAAATATTTTAGATTATAATCATTCAAAACTTTGTGAAACGAATCACCAGTGTAATTTAAAAACTGATAAAAATAATATTATTGTTGTACCTGATGAGAAACCAAATTTGTGGGGACCAATCAAAATTGGTAACTCTGTAGTTGATGCTTTTGTCATGCAATACTATGAAGGATTTCCTATTAATATTGTTGCCTGGGGATATTTGTATGATCAGGAACAGTGGGGGAAAATTATGCCACTGAGTAGAGGCTTCCATAATGTAATATTTAATACTTCTCTAGTTGCTAAAGATATAGCAAAACCACTAATTAAATATATAGCAGATTTATGTCTAGGACATAATGTGGCGCCAAAAGTGACTTTACTTATGGGTCACGATGCGAATATGTATACATTACTTGAAGGGATGGGTTTTAAACCGTATTCATTAATAAATCAACACGAACTAGTCCCCGTTGGCGGTAAAATAGTTTTCCAAAAATGGTACGATGCTGTGTCCAGACAGAATTTTTTGAAAATTAATTTTATCTATCAGTCAATGAAACAGTTAAGGGACAGTGTACCGTTATCTTTGAGTAATCCACCACAGTTCGAATTGCTCGAATTGGAAAATTGTAAAGTTGACAGTAACGGTTTTTGTCTATGGAATGTATTTGAAGATTTTCTAAAAACTTTGATCCAGTGACACGCAAGTGACATGACATGATTTTAATTAGATAAATACAATTTTATTGTGCTTGTTTTTTATTCTGCATAATAAACTTGTTAGGTTGTTTTAATATTCCGATAGCAATGTAGATTAAGTATTTTTTTTTAATGGATGACAATGGAATGGTAACCCCACCCGCGCTATCGGTATACACCGGCGGGGCACCAGTGTAGGATGATAGGTGAGTAGATGAAGTAGGTCAGTAAGCCCATCGTGACGAATTCAACAAGAATTGTTCACGATGGTTTCCAGGGGGAACCACGTGGAGGTCGACCTAATAAGGCAAATTGCTAACAATGGGGCTGTCAAACTCCATTACTAACAATCCCTTTCCCCCCTGTAGATTAAGTATTAATATTTTTGTTCAAAAATTAACTTACATGGAAATTGAAAATTAAGTGAATAATAACAAAATATTATACGAGTATATTGAGTCAACAGGTGGTATTTTTTCATTTAAAATTAATACAAGCAATAATAAAGAAATATTCAGTGTATTTATAAATAACTGTATGTATTTAATTTTGAAATTACGTACCATGAATTCACATAATTAATCGATTTTGTATGAATGAGAAAATACTTATTTATTTATATTTCTCTATTAACTAATGTAACAGTTTTCGTTACACAATGGCAAGACTATACATTTCATTTTAATTTTTATAATAAGAAAATAAATGATAACAATATTTGAAATATAAAATAAATAAATATGTTTTATTTTTAATATGAAATTACATTATAGTAATTACATTAAGTAAACATAATTACTGTGGTGAATTATTATTTATATATGTTAAAATATTATGTTTAATTAATTAATGAAATATATTATTTTTGTATCATCTATATAAGTATGTATCTATATAATATAATTTTACCTTTTGCTGTTAAATTGGTTACACAGGTTACACTCTGGGTTTGTTGCACGCGTCCGTGTAGCCATACTTCAGGTTGCAGCTGAAAATCAGTGCTTTGTTTTTAAGCAAAACTATCACTGAGCTGTGTAGCCTATTTGGGTCACTGCGACACACTTGGTGAAAACATATCTCCAATATTCATCTTTTGTTTTATATTTGAAAAAATGTAAATAATGAGATTGTATAAATTTATTTATTAATTTACGTGTGTCATAAATGGCTCAAATAAAGTGTTTATCTATCTATCTATCTATAGTTGTATATATATATATATATATATATATATATATATATATATATATATATATATATATATATATATTATATATATATATATTATAGCTGTAAATAAAATATAGGATTTTATATATAATAAAATGAATTATTAAATCAACACACATGATATTTTACGTAATTAAAATATAATTTTATTAATAATAAAATGACATTGTGTTATCTCACACATTATTCATTAACTTCAATTTTATTAATTAATAAAAAAAATTAAATTGTGTTATCTCTTCTATATATATATATATATATATATATATATATATATATATATATATATATATATATATATATATATATATATATATATATATATAATTATGTAATTTTTTGTAGAAGTTAGATACGTATTTCAAATTAAGAATGATTACTTTGGCTTTTGGAGAATTCACTTCCAAAAAGATGCAATAGGAGGCGAATGTTTGTATGGGAGTTCTTTGATTAGAAATAAATAAAATAATTTTCAACGTTTTAGAAATTCCACCACTCAAACACCATACGCGAGCGAAGTCGCGAGCAAAAGCTAGCATATAATACTGATGATAATAAATGAATTAAATATTTGCAAAATAATACTCAAAGATCTAGAATCTTCTAGAACTTAATGCCATTCGAATAAACAGTGTGAAATCAAAAGATATGCGCTGGCGACGATTAAGTGCCCCACCATGATGGGAAAGCCTGTATTAAAGAACCTTTTGAATGTGAATTTGTAGCCGTGATGTTCCGCCACTCCTGCGCAAACCACATTAGCGGTTGTGCCCGTAAGAGTGCCGTTACCTGGAATCATAATAATTGAAGTTATTCTTAAATTAGTAGATAACTAATTGGTAGCTAACTACTACCCTAAATACAGGCATATTGAGGATAGAAGGATAATAAATGAGTTGGTCATATAGCTCGAAAGACCGATAATCGATGGGAAAGAAAGATTCTTGTATGGCGACCTAATATGAACAAACGCAGTTAGGACGACCTCCCACTAGATGGAGTGACGACTTCTAATGCATTAAATGGAATCAATGGATGTAGGCGGCTCTGGATAATCTTCTATAGCAGTCTATGGGAGAGGTCTATGTTCAACACTGGACAGATAATGGTTGAGATGATGATGTAGGGAGGAGAATCAATCAATCAATCAGTCAGTCAGTAAATCAGTCAGTCAGTCAAGCAATCAATCAATCAATCAGTCAGTCAATCAGTCATTCAATCAATCATTCCGTCCGTCCGTCAGTCAATCAATCAGTCAGTCAACCAGTCAGTAAATCAATCAGTCAGTCAATCAGTCAGTCAGTCAATCAATCAGTCAGTCAGCCAGTCTATCAATCAGTCAGTCAGTCAATCAATCAATCAGTCAGTCCATCAGTCAATCAATAAATCAGTTAATCAGTCAGTCAGTCCATCCGTCCATCTGTCCGTCCGTCCATCCATCTATCTATCTATAAACCTTAAAATACTCTTTTTGAAGATCCCCACATTGTAATCTCTAGGGAAATCCTCGGAAATGAGCTCATTCCGTTGCCTAAGCATTCACGGGAGAAAATTCCTTTGAACTTTTTTTTAAATTATTAATTTTTTAAAACCTCACCTCCCAAACACCCTCCGTAGAGCAAAGCCCATATTAAAGGGCTCTTGGGTAAGTTCAGGTTTGGATTGGATCCTATGGAGACCACTACCCTCACCATCATCGTCGTCAGCGGTATATTGTCCACACACGCTGAGATTAGTCCCGATACCTAAATTACAAATTACAAGTAAACAATTTAGAAAAAGTTGATTTTGCTCTACAAAGAACCAGTTAACTTCTTCAATCGAGACAAATTGTCGCACTCTTCAAAAGCGAAGGCTGTGTTTAGCTGATTTGGTGATACAGAAGAATTCTATCGAAAATAGAAGGCAGTTGTGTTTAAATATTGATTTTTAAAGAAGATCGGTTTCAACCATGAAGGTTGTGTTTGATACTGTGTTTCGTGAATTTATGGCGGAATTTACAGAGGACTAACATCTAAGTCCTCAGGAATGGCAACGCATGGGGGGTATCATGGGCGAAACAGTATACTCTGTTATGTCCATGGTACTGCTCGTGTCTATAGGCGACGGTTACCACTTTCCATCAGGTGGGCTGTCAGCTTGTTTGACATTCTAAGTTGTATAAAATAAAAAAAAAAATCCAAAATATCATAATGATTGTTTTAGCCGTTCTGTAAAGAGGTAACAAATAATAAGGTCACTTTTAAATTTATAAGTGGTAAGGGCTAAGTTAGTAAGAACGTTTAAATATATAAAAATATATGAAGTGTATATTTTAAATAACAGACCATTTTCTTTCAAAGTCTTTTTTCTTACTTATTATACAAGAAAGGTCTTAGTCACCTTTTAGTAACCTATCTAATAAACAAATGTAGGTAAGTACTTACCCAAGTAATTGTTATGATAGCTACAGCGAGTCGAGCTCTCTCGTCAACCATCAGGATCAGCTGCTCCATTAGGTTGCCAATAAATACTATTAAACCTAGTTTGGAAAGTGCCTGAAATATAGAAAACTATTAACATAATAATAATCCTTATTATTTTTATCTGTTCGTGTGGTCCAGGCATAGAATAGGCCACCCCTTCCTTTCCTGTGGGTGTCGTAAGAGGCGACTGAAGGAAGTTAACGGTATAGGGATAAGTCAATGGTATAGGGATGGGTAGCAGCGTCCTTCTTAAAACATCTCTAAAAGCCTAACTACGATTACCAACTGGCCTGCCAAGCATGGCAACTACTTGCAAAACTCCCCTTTATGGGTAAGGCAGCAGTTTTAGCAGAGAAAAGTTAACGGTTGAAATTATGCATTATGATGATTATTCTTTTTTTTTATACCACTGAGGTGGCAAACAAGCATACGGTCCACCTGATGGTAAGCGGTTACCGTAGCCTATGAACGCCTGCAATACCAGAGGTATTACGCGCGCGTTGCCGACCCTGAAGAAACCTCTTTATCCCCCTTTTGAAGAACCCCATGCTGTAGTCTCTTGGAAAAACCTCGGCAGGGAGCTCATTCCATAACCTGAGTGTTCTTATGGTGAAACTAAAAATAATATATAAATATGTAAAAATAGTTTTAATTCAATTAAAGTTTACTTGAAAAGCCAAAGTTTTTTTCTAAAGACTGCATGGGGTGTGTGCTGATTCTATGTTATATATAATATTTTATAAGAGTTACCTCCATGAAGACAAAAAGAGCTCCAAAGAACAGTAACGTAGACCATTCGACCCTGTGTAGAATCGGTTCTAGGTCGCTACGATCAGCCAGTGTCAATAACAAAATGGCACCAAGCAGTACCGTCCAACCCAACGATATACGATCTGAAGACCAAAAATATTTTGCTATAACATTTACAGATTTTGCTCCGCAAAATGTAGCGACTTCTAATCTCATATTTGAAGTGACTGTTTTTTTTTTTAACCACGAAGAGCCCATGAATTGTAAAAAGGATTAGAAAAATCAGTTCAAAATTAGTGATGAAATGAACATTTTAATATGGAAATCACATGTTATTTTTGTATCGTAAAGACAAATGGTTGTTTATGTTAACACAAAATTTGAATCAAAAGAATTTGGATCAAAGAGATTGTGATAATAGGTTTAGAATTAGCAATATATATAATAACGCAACATATTCGTAAAAAAATAAGACAAAAAGAGAACTTTTTCTTCAGAAAGTCGCTAAAAAAGAAATAATACGAGCATATATTTGATAGTAGCTTTTTGCTCATTTCTTCGTATGCGTGGATTTTAGAAGAAGGAAAATCAATAAAATAGATAACTTTAATAAGATTGCATGGCTGTGTTTCGGTTTGAAGGGTGGGATATGGCGTGAATTTACTGGGTACAGAGGAATAACACCTGAGTTCTCAGGAATGGCAACGCATGGGGGGTATCATGGGCGAAACAGTATACTCTGTTATGTCCATGGTACTGCTCATGTCTATAGGCGACGGTTACCACTTTCCATCAGGTGGGCCGTCAGCTTGTTTGCCATTCTAATTTGTATATAAAAAAAAAAAAAACAAAAACTTATAGCATGGTGTATCAAAATAAAACATACCAAATTTTAAGTTAGATCTCCAGAAACACAAGTGTGAAAACGGCATAAAATTTGATGCAGTGGTTTTTGCGTGGTGCCGAAACAAACATACATATTGACAGATAAATAAAAAATATTTTTTGACTTCCATTGTTCTTATTAAAATCATATCAATATTTGTATAAAATAATATACAGATATTGTCAAGTTATAACATTATTAATAACAGTAGAACTAATCGTACTTACTAAGTTCAGGCACAGAATGCAGGAAAAACATGACGACAACGAATGCTGTGGCCACCATAGCCTTCAGAAGCAGCACTTTGTCTCGGATTTTGTACTGCAAAAATATTGGAAATATCTGTGTAAATAAACATTATACTTAGTCTACTGTTTATTATCGTATTGAAAACTGCTTCAGTTTTTAGATGCAAATTTTTGCTCTACAAGCTGTAGCTTTAATAGTTACAAAATTAATATGGGACCAATATACGATGCAAATAGATTTCGATCGATCGATTTTTTTTCTATTTTCCATACTAATATTATAATAATGAAAGAATTAATTTGTCATCTCTTAGTTCCTTATAAACAACCAATCATTACGACATAAATTTCTTTTCATCCCAGTATGTAAACGAAATCTTGATTAAAAACTAGTAATGCATAATATTGTAACATACAATTGTAGGCGGGAAAGGGATTGTTAGCAATGGATTTTGACAGCCCTATTGTTAGGTCGACCTCCACGTGGTTCTCCTTGGAAACCATCGTGAACAATTCTTGTTGAATTCGTCACGATGGGCTATCATTGAACGATAGATTCATTATCACCCATTTTGCAGTTGTACGTTTGTATTTTTATTGTATTTTATTAAGAGAGGGACTGGTTGAAAACCAGAGCGGTGCAACTGTACACATTGTACTGGGACACTCACAGCATCAGTTGAGCCAACATCCTTTTGCATATATATATATATATATATATATATATATATATATATATATATATATATATATATAATATTTTCTATTCTAATTAAAATAATTAAAATTAATTAGTCTTACGTGTTCCTTCAACTCTGCTAAAGTGTTTAGAAAGGTTTCTTCTGAACACGACCCTTTGCTGTTCTCTCGAATGAGTGTGTCCAATTTTTCATTCAACTTTTCTATTTTCTTCTCCAGTCTTTCTCTGATGACGTTCACTCCATTGTTAAGATGAGGGAGAGAGTCTTTCGCTCGCCGCCATATTGAAATCTGGTGATGTAATTCTGGAATTAAATTGGTTATAGGTATCGATTAACGGGATTAGATACAAATAAATACGCTACTAAATTACTTAATACTTAATTTGCGATATATATACCATAATACTATAACATAATACTCTTTTTTTATGTAACTTAGAATGGCAAACAAGCTGACGGCCCACCTGATGTAAAGTGGTAATCGTCGCCTATAGGCGTAAGCAGTACCATGGATATAACAGAGTATACTGTTTTGCTCATGATACCTCGTATGCGTTGCCATTCCTGAGGACTCAGGTGTTATTCCTCTGTACCCTGTAAATTCACTGCCATATCCCAACCTTCAAACCGAAATACAACCATGTAAACACAACTGCATCAAGATATCTCGTCATTTGTATTTTTTATGAATACCTACATTATTGGTGTACGCTGGTGAAGTACCAGTGAAGGTAGATAGGTGAGAATGAATTCAGGTCAGTAAACTAACGGACCTGAATTCATCGTGACGAATTCACCAGGAATGAATCAATGATGATATTTGCTAAGTCAAATATACACACCTTGTATATCTGCTGGTACTTTTAGCCGTAATTTATTTGTATCTCTATATATATAACGGATCTGTAGAGACGTCTGTATGAACACCAATAATATGCCGAGTGACATATGAGCGGTGAAGTTTGTAAAATTTATACCCTGAAAAAGTTGAGATTCTTATAAGACTTATAAATAAGAAAACGTATTTTTTTATATAAAAATTCGTATACTTACAGCTTCGGCAACATCTTTATTGGAGACCACAATGACATTGCTCGGATCACCAATTGGAGTCGCTGTGCCACCAACATTGCTGTATATTGCCATTAACATCAATATTGGTACTGGATCTAAGCCCATCACTTCACATATCCTGGAAACGAATGCTTATTTTAGTAGAAACAGAAGTCAAACTAATGATCTACCTGGTGACCACCCTGATTATTAGCGATATACCTTCGACTTTGAAAACCATTGTTTAATCCTTGGTAAATTCGTCACGATTGACCAACTAACTTAACTTTATCTTCATCTATCAACCCTCACTGGTGTTGCTAGCGTAAACTAATAATGCAGGGAGAAAGGGATTGCTGATCAGGTCAAACTCTGCGTGATTTCCCCTGGAAACCATCTCGGTTCAAAAGAATTACTTATGGAATTCGTCACGATGGGCTAATTGGCATGCTTTCACCCCGACCTGTCATCCTTCACTGTGGTCTCGCTAGTATATACCAATAGCACAGGCGGAGTTATTATTCTATTCACACCCGTAAAAAATAATTCAGACAGGGTTTAATACATGTAACTCAAAAAGCTACCAAAAAAATAAGCCTACGAACCTTATAGTGACCGGAGACATGAGCAAAACAATAGTAACGTTGTCAGTGAATGCTGATAGCAGCGCTGTCACACCACACAAAAGATAGATCATTGGCCACAATTTACCCTTTGTCACCTGCGAGAATTTAAGATTTTGTGTCACAAAAAACTTTTTACATATAAAATAACCAATTCTATGAATATCATAATTAAAGCTATTTATTAATATAGATTCTAACCTCAAAAGTAAAAACAGCCAAGAAATCAAATATCCCAGTTTCGGCTGTAATAGCAACCAGTAACATCATGCAGAACAGTAGCAGAAGTGTCTCCTCGTTCATCCAGGATATCAGCTCTGGGAGCGATGGTCGCTCACCAGCTAAAGTCAGCGCTGCTAACGACATAGTCGCCATTACAATAACCGCCATGGTCCTGTTAACAATCTGTGTAAAATTTTATTTTTGCATACTACTTTGGTGGCAAAAAACCATATGGTTTGTCTGATGGTAAACGGATTTACAATAGCCTATGGATGCCTGGAAAACCAGGGATGTCTCGCGTGCGTTACCAACCCTTAAGAAATCTTAATACATCCTTTTTGAAGAACTCCATACTGTAGTCTCTGAGGAAAGCTTTGGCAGGAAGATCATTCCAAAACCTGAGTGTTCCCGGAAGGAAACTCCTCTGAAATCGCACTATGCGTAATCATTTTGGTTCTGAGGCGAGAGGATGGATTCCCTGTTGATGGCAAGCGGTGCGATGGTGAAAGGTGGTAGACATCATATTAAAAAGTTCTTCAGAACACAAAGTCATTATTAAAACAGGTATCTGTGATATTAATTGAAAATTTTAATAATATCCATACATTTTTAATGACTTTTTACTTCGTACGGCGAAGTTGTTTTTTTATACGACGAAGGTGGCGAACAAGTATATAGCCCGTCTGATGGTAAACGGTTACTGTAACCTTTGGACGCCTGCAACACTAGAGGTGTCACGTACCCGTTACCGACGTTGTAGAAACCTTAATGTACCCTCTTTAAAGAACCCCATTCTGTAGTCCCTAGAGAAAACCTCGGAAGAGAGCTCACTCCACAGCCTGAGCGTTCTGTGTATGAATGAATGTATGTACATATCAATTGGTATTGATCAGGACCTGATCATGGTCATTGAAAGTTCCCAAAAGATTTATATAAAGCTTCTGTTAAAAAGTATTCGTTATTTTTAAAAAGTAATTACCTCAAATATAATTAGCAGATATAGTCCAGACAGTAACACAACTGCGTACACGACTCCTGTGGTGACATCTAGCGGTGACGCTGTATAACTTATAGTGAATGGCACGGTTCGATTCGATGTGGACCTCATACGTATGATGTATGTGTTGTTTGTATGTGTGCTGTTTGGTTTGTGGTGGAACTTGTGTATTCTGGGTTCGCCTTCATTGAAGTCCAACTGGTTGTCATTTTGAAGAGTGATCAACCAACGCTCGGACGCCTGGTATGTACAAACAATAAAATTAATATATATTTTTATTAATAAAAAGTACGATTCCATCTTCTATTCATTCAGAAATCGCCCGGAAGAGATCTTTTTTTTATGCAATAAGTTACTAAGGTATGGCAAACAAGCCGACGGCTAACCTAATGGAAAGTGACAACCGTCGCCTATAGACATGAGCAGTACCATGGGCATAACAGAGTGTACTGTTTTGCCCATAGTCCCTTCACCATGTGTTGCCATTCCTGAAGACTCAGGTGTTATTCCTCTGTACCCTGTAAATGCACTGCCATATCTGCAAACACAACTGTTTCACGGTACAAACACGAATGGGATAGAGGTTATCAAGCAAAAGGCTTTTGTACAAAGTCACCATCTGGTAAGACTATGATCGCTTTTAGCTTTAAGGCCGCCTATTGTTTTCAGTGCGACCTTTTCTTATAATATCTTTTTTGTATTTTTACTAAGTTTACTATTGTAATCTTTTAGAGGTAACAATAAAGAGTATCTACTATTTTAATATATAAATTTTATATTGTTCTAATATTATGTGATAGTGAGTTTGTTTGTTACCTTATAGCGTGTAAGGTATTATATGATATGAAGGATTACTTTTTATTCTGGTCAGAAAACATATCATATTTACGCTTACGGAGTCATTATATAATATAATAAATATTGGCGAGAAATGAGCAGCAGCGTCCCTTTTAAAACATCTCTAAAGCCTAACTGCGGTTGCCAACCCGACTGCCAAGCGTGGCAACAACTGGCAAAACCCCCTAAGGGGGAGCCTTAGTTTCAACAATTGGATAATTGATCAATGCACTGTCAAAAGTGCTTACAAGCTAAGCGACTACGAAGCAGGATGTTACTGAAACGTCTTGGGGTAATAAAAGGTAAATTTTTATATCATGGCTTTTTGTTGTACCATTTTATTACAATGATAATATATTTTTTTAATGGGTGAAGATGGAGTGGCAACCCCGTCGTATGCATACTCCGCTATCAGTATATGTCAGTAAGGCACCAGTGAGTATGGATGAGGATAAAAGCAATGCATCGTGACGAGTTCGACAAGAAACAACCGCAATGGTTTCCACTGGAAACCATGTGGAGAACGACCTGATATATTCCTGGCAATGAAGTTGGAATCCAATGCGTTTACTAACCCCAACCAACAATATAATTGTATTATTATATTTATATGTTAATAATGATCAACTATGCCTTTCCGCTCATTATTATATGTTGTCTTTGTACAATTGTAGACTATACAGTCTACAATTGTACAAATAAACCGTCATAATAAAATATATACATATTTATATATTTTATTATGGCGGTCAAAAGCGTCAAGCGAGTAAGGTGACAGTCATGGAAATTAGTTAGTTATGCGAATCTTATGTAGAGACGTCTGTTACTGAATTGTGTTTTAATGACAGAGAAAAATTGAATGAAATATGGTAGGTATACATATTGAACATATTCTATTTTGTACAAAAGTCGATTGCTTGGGCACCTTTGTCCCATTCGTGTTTCTACCGTGAAGCAGTTGTGTTTGCATGGCTGTGTTTTGGTTTAAAGGGTGGGATATGAATGTGAATTTACAGTGTATAGAGGAATAACACCTGAGTTCTCAGGAATGGCAACGCAGTGGGGGGTATTATGGGCGAAATAGTATACTCTGTCATGTTCATGGTACTGCCCATGTCTATAGGCGACGGTTACCACTTTCCATTAGGTGGGTCGTCAGCTTGTTTGCCATTCTAAGTTGTATAAAAAAAAATTCTAGAGTAACGTACAAGATTTTACATTCCACTTGATACTTGAGTTATTTATATGTCTAATAGTAATTCTGTGTTATATATATATATAAATTTTAATGCATAGTAAAATTCTATGTACATTTAGCGGACTTAACATCGGACGGTGTTCTCTACCAGTCAACCATTCGGCAAACCGAGAAAAAGAGAAAGTAGATAATTAACTGTAATAGAAGAGCAAATAGCAATTATATATATATATATATATATATATATATATATATATATATATATATATATATATATATATAGTATATGACTTTTATGTCATGTTATATATACAAATCCTATAGATACTTTCTCCTTTCGGATTTTCAAGGTTGACTAGAAGAAATCCCTTCAAGGGATAAGTCCGCCTGTGTAGATATTCGTTATAACCTGATATCTATATTAAAAGTGAATGTACAAAACCTTTTAAATAAAATTAATAAGTAAATATTATATACTAATTTGCGCGACTAAATCCGCGGTATACAACTAGTAATAGTATAATAAATAAAAATCTCTAACCTCCACATCGAAATCTTCATTAGAATGATTTTGTTCATAACTATATGTTCGTCTTTCGAGCCACACCTCCATTTTGTGATATCTTGCCAGTACATCAGAATTCATTTTTGTTTCATCATTTTCGGATAAAAATGGGCCAGATAGCTTCACTAAGATAAAAGCATGGTTATCAGATAATTGCAGAGTGTAATCTGAAAGTTTTACATGGGTAAATTTTTTTTATATAACAAGGGCAAACGAGCATGCGACCCGCCTGATGGTAAGTGACTACCGCCGCCCATGATCACCCGCAACACCAGAGGCATCATAGGTGTGCTGCCGGCCTTTTAAAAAGAAATATGCTCTTTTCTTCAATATGTTTTAATAATTACATAAGTGAATTAATAATACCTAATTGTAGGCGTATTGCGAGGGGATACGCTGGCTGGGCACCAGTGGGGGATCACAGGTGAGGATGAAAGGCAAGTCAGTTAGGCATGGTGACGAATTCCACGGGGTAGGGTGTATTGCTAGCAATGGGTCAATTTTTTTTTTGATGGGTGAAAATGGTATGGTGACCCCGCTTGCGCTAACGGGATACGCTGGCGGAGCACCAGTGAAGGGTGATAGATGAGAATAAAAACAGGCCAGTTAGCCCATCATGATGAATTCATCAGGAATTAACCATGATAGTTTCCAGGGGGAACCGCGAAGAGGTCGACCTGGTTGGGTATATTGATAACAATGGGATTCTCAGTCTCCATTACTAACAATCCCTTTCCCCCCAACAATGGGTCAATTAGACCCTATCACTAACAATACCTTTCCCCCCATCATTAGGTTAGGCACATCGTTTACAAATTCTAACAATTATAAAAAATACATTTTTATATAGCACTTACGTTTGTCTTTTCCATTCGTGATAGCAGTACTTCTGTCGATATCACGTTTTTCGTTGTACATCAGGAATGTTGACGTAAAGAATAACCAACACGCTACTAGTGTTATAATTTTTACATAACACTTATCCCTTGTTACCTGTAGTTAAAGATTTTTGTTTACTCGAATAAATAAAAGATTTAAAGATGTAATGTTAAAGCCCGTATATTGGTAAATCTTAAGTTTTATCAGTCATTTTTAGAACCAATGTGAGGGTCCAAAACAAGATTATTTTTATATCTTTCATCTAACCTTTTTTTTTACACAACTTAGAATGGCAAACAAGCTGACGGCCCACCTGATGGAAAGTGGTAACCGTCGCCTATAGACATGAGCAGTACCATGGACATAATAGAGTATACTGTTTCGCCCATGATACCCCCTATGTGTTGCCATTCCTGAGGAAACAGATGTTATTCCTCCATACCCAGTGAATTCACGCCATATCCCACCCTTCAAACCGAAACACAGCCATGCAAACACAACTGCTTCACAGTTGAAACACGAATGATACAATCGAGTTTTGTACAAAGTCTCCCTGTGGTAAATCATAATACGAGTATAGACTGCAAATATTTACAAAAATGCTTACTTTACAAAAATGGTGATAATGTTTGGTAGCTATATCATAATTGTTGACTTAAAAAATTCAATGGTCTCTTGTACTAATATAGATGTATGTAATATAAACAACGGAGGCATCCTACCTCAATGTAAACTATTGTAAATCGATCCTAATTATAAGCTAATTCTTAACTGTTGTTAAATGAGTACAGTATTAAATTGTCATTGGCAATGGATTGGATTTATATCGATGTCGGATTCAAGAGTTATCCTACTGTTTGTTTGTTTGTTTATTTATTTAGACTTTAATTGAACTCAATTTAATTTAATCGGTTTCTATTTGTATACGATTTTTTTGTTTCATGCGGGTATACGACCCCGGCCTCCCGAGCCGCTGCAGTGTCCCAGTCCTTTACGCAACTGCAGTGCCCCCTCCCCTTCCCCCTTTAAGTCGCTTATTCCTCTCATTTACTAATTTCCTTTACACATTTCCAACGTTCCCTTCCTTTTTTCTTCAATCTTGTCCTCCATACCGTAGGTGGCGGAAACCACCAACAAATGCATTCCCAAAGAGGATTGATGTCAGGCAGGCGGCCAGTCGTAAAACTATAAGCCAAATATAGGCTTTGTTTGCCATTCTAAGTTGTATAAAAAAAATATTTTTGTAATATGGATAAAATCATATTACACCGACCCCAAATAATAATTGAGATAAGGGTAGGAAGATGATGATGGAAACAACAAAAATAGTCGTTTTCTTTGCGGGGCAAAAGTGTTTTTGTTCCATTTTAACATCTTAAATTCATCTTGAAGTCTATTTAACTGGTTACCCCCTTTTAAAAACTACATATAAGAAGTAGCGGGCAAAAAGCTAGTCGGATATAAAAATATCACCATTGAACTAAATACCTACCTTAATATATTGCTTCTTCTTGTAATTACGGTGGAGGCTGAAAAGTAAAATTAAAAAACAAAGTTATTGCAACTAGTCTTGAAAAACCGACTAAGGTTTAATTCCTCTGTATCCTGATACTCTATTATTGCACTATTATATCTCAATGTGGCTGTCAAATATATATATTTGGGGGGAAAGGGATTGTTAGTAATGGAGACTGAGAATCCCATTGTTAGCAATATACCCAACCAGGTCGACCGCCTCGCAGTTCTCCCTGGAAACTATCGTGGTTAATTCCTAATGAATTCATCATGATGGGCTAACTGGCCTGTTTTCATTCTCATCTATCACCCTTCACTGGTGCTCCGCCATTAGCGCAGGCGGGGTTACCATTTTCACCCATCAATAAAATATTTACAAGATTAAGGTACTGTACGTTCCTTAAAGAAACCTTCCTGATAGTCAAATTAAAATTATATATATATATATATATATATATATATATATATATATATATATATATATATATATATATATATATATATATATATATATATATATATATATATATACATACAAATATTGTTGCTTAGTAACAAAAACAACTGTACAAAAAACTGTACTATGTATGTATTCGATGTTCCGTTGCGAAGAATAGAGTTGGCATTGAAACTACTCAATGATATTTAGAGCCAGTATCCGCAATTGGATGTATTTGCCTCCAACTTGCTGGAGTTTCGTCTAGTGACCACAGAGTATTTGTGTTCAGACGTTTTTTGTTTGAGTTAAATCTTTCATGCTTTCCTGGGTAAGCGTATTGGAAGACTGTAAGGCTCACCCAGTGGATGTAATAAATAAATAAATAATAACTTGCATTTTATCCACGGATGCCTTGTCTTCTTTGTTTCTATTTTCAGTTCTATCTGCTACTTCTGCATCATCCTCATCAGATAGTACTTGCAGTTCGTCATCGTCATTAACTGATGGATTCGGATTTACGTCTGTTTCCCGTTTTGTCGCACCTGACCAACTGGTAGCCTTCTCTCCTGGATCTCCTGTAATGTATTTTTACTAGATATTATCTGTGACTTTGTATGTATGTATACATATAGGCTGCTATTTTTAAATTCACATTTTTTTTAATTAATGTAGATATCAGGGAAAAAAATTGTATTCATTAATGTAACTTAACTATATCTTTTACTTGTTTGTTTTGGAATCCTGCAATGAGGAGAAGGGTGTTGGTATTCGTGACATAGTTTTATACTTTTGTTTATATCATTGCTTTTCAATAATATTGTAATCAAAGATTTTGATTTATTTTCCAAATACAGAATTATTATTATTATAAACGTTGACCGGGATAAATATAAGGACCCTATGTCCTTCTCCATTCCAAATAGCTAAGTTAAGCCGTCAAGGCACCAAAAAGCAACAGACAAACAAATTCATTTTGACTGTGATTTATAACGTGTACCAAATTTTTATTTATTAGGTATTACTTCTTAATTTATTTATATTTTTATATTTATTAACTTTATTAACCACAATAAAGTATGATATAAAAAACGGATTTAATGCTAGTAGCGTTCTCTACGAGTCAAACTTGAGGATGTACAATGGATATTTTTTTAATTTGAACTACATATGGACGTCTGCCGACAATAATGTAATTGACCCAACCATATAAATGGTTGGGTCAATTACATGTTTGTACATTTTATTTTGTCGCATAAGACTTGGCATAGAATAGGCCATCCCTTCCTTTCCCGTGGGTATCTAAAGATGCGACTAAAAATGCTTATGGCGAAGGGATGGGTAGCAGCGTCCCTCTTAAAACATCACCAAAAGCAAAACTGCAGTTACCAATCCGCTTGCCAAGCGTGGCATCTAATAGCATAACCTCCCTTATGAAGGTGGCTATGCCCAGCAATGGACAGTAAAGGCTGATATGATGATGATAAATTTTGATAAAGTTCTTTTGAAATCGATCATAAAAACCAACAGAATCGAATAAACCGAATACCAGAGGAAAACTTTGTACAAAAGTCAATTGCTTGGGTACCTCTGTCCCATTCGTGTTTCAACCGTGAAGCAGTTGTGTTTGCATGGCTGTGTTTCGGTTTGAAGGGTGGGATATGGCGTGATTTTACTGGGTACAGAGGAATAACACCTGAGTCCTCAGGGATGGCAACGCATGGGAGGTATCATGGGCGAAACAGTATACTCTGTTATGTCCATGGTACTGCTCATGTCTATAGGCGACGGTTACCACTTTCCATCAGGTGGGCCGTCAGCTTGTTTGCCATTCTGAGTTGTATAAAAAAAAACTCACCGTGCTCCTTCTCATATATCTCTTTAAACGGCGCTAAAACTGGATCATTCTTCACCTCATCGGGTAGTCCCAGACAGAGTCTCAACGTGTATGGCGTGACCTCCTCAGTTGACACCAGCGAGTACTGGCTTCGATTCAGCTCCTGATTTGTCTGCTGTTTTTGAATTCCCGCCAATTCTTTCAAACCTTTCCAGAGGTTACTCATTTTTCATATATTTATAATCTTTGCCTATTTAGGGGGGAGGGGGGAAGGATTGTTAGTAATGGGATCTAACTGCCCCAATACTGGTCCAACTAACTGGTCAAAACCAGGTCGATCTTCTTGCTGTTCTCACTGGAAACCATCGTGATTGATTTGTTATTAAATTCTAACAGGCTAACTGACCTGCTTCATCCTCACCTATCATCGTTCACTGGTGCTCCGCCAGTATATATCGATAGCACAGGCAGGGTTTTTTTAATGGGTGATAATAGTATGGTAACCCCATCTGCGCTATCGGTATACAATGGCGGGACACCAGTGATAGATGACTAATGAGGATGAAAGCAGGTCAGTTAGCCCATCCTGATGAATTCTACTAGAAGTAGCCACGATGGTTTCCAGGGAGAACAGCGTGGAGGTCGACCTGACAGGGTATATTGCTAGTAATGGAGCAATTTTTTTTTGATGGATGAAAATGAAATGGTAACCCCGTCCGCGCTAACGGGACACGCTGGCGGAGCACCAGTGAAGGGTGATCGATGAGAACGAAAACAGGCCAGTTAGCCCATCATGACGAATTCATCAGGAATTAACCACGATAGTTTCCAGGGGAAACCGTGAGCAAGCCGACCTGGTTGGGTATATTGCTAGCAATGGGATTTTTAGTCTCCATTACTAACAATCCCTTGCTCTCCGAAGAAATGGAACTATTTGACCTCTTTACTAACAATCCCTTTCCCCCCTACACAGGCGGGGTTACCATTCCATTATGATCAATGATAAAAAAACTTTGCCTATTGGAGTCGTGAGAAATTATAAAAAAAAAAAACACACACAAGCGTTTAGATTTAATCGCGCGCGAAAACTGTTTTGTTTGGACGTCGCGACTGTGTGACATTGCAATATGTCTCATAGTATGTATGAACTAAAGTAACCATACATGTACATGGAAATTTTTGTATGTATAATGATTGTGTAAATAATTGTTACTTTACATCTTTGTGTCGTTATAATAAAAAGTACACTGCTCAATGTTAAAATCCTTACTAATATTAGAATTGTGAAAGTGGGTATGTGTGTTTGATTGTTGGTTACCTCAAGGCGTGTTGATCGCTCGATTATTCGTCGTGAATTTTTTTTAACGGCTCCCCGGGAATTAGCGCGTGTATTAAATTTCAGTTTGTATACCAGTTTATTTGTTTAGGCTATATCTTTCTTTTATTCTTCCCATCCATTGATTTTTAAATCCATTCATCTTTCTTTCCGTATTTTTATTATATTATTACTTCTCGGGGGTGGTTATTTGTTTGCATTATGTTGCCAGGTTTTTTTTCTTTTTTTTTTTTATTCAACTTAGAATGGCAAACAAGCTGACGGCCCACCTGATGGAAAGTGGTAACCGTCGCCTATAGACATGAGCAGTATCATGGACCCCCCATGCGTTGCCATTCCTGAGGACTCAGGTGTTATTCCTCTGTACCTAGTAAATTCACGCCATATCCCACCCTTCAAACCGAAACACAGCCATGCAAACACAACTGCTTCACGGTTGAAACACGAATGGGACAGAGGTACCCAAGCAATCGACTTTTGTACAAAGTCTCCCTCTGGTTAGATCTGGTGCGATTAGAGAACTACAACCCCTTGGCGTATGTGTTGAATCCCTATATTACACCTCTAGTTGTTCTATTTTATTTAATTTATTATATACTTATATACTTTATTTTATATATATATATATATGTATATATATATATATATATATAATATATATATATATATAATATTGTCCGAATGAATTGAAATTGTTAAATGTGAATTTATTTAAAAAGAGATTGTATACTTGGCTGAATGTAAATAGTTTTTAGGATGTAAAAGACTTTTTAAACAAAAAACAAAATGTTAATTGTTATATATATATATATATATATATATATATATATATATATATATACTACACTTACGGGTACGTGACCAAGTAAGTGCAGTGTGTATGTTTGAATGGAAGGTTATGCTTGTATGGGAAATGAGTAAGTAAAATATTTAATTCAATATTCAAACGTCTATATATTTTAAAAAGAATGACAATATATATATATGCGCTGTTATTTATAATTTATTTTTCTACAGAAATTCAAAAGGTATTTATAAAGGTTTGTTATATATACAATATATATTACATATACAATATATGTTACTACGGGCGATAGTATATATATATATATATAAGGCGTCCAGAGGTTCATGTAGAGCGAGGCTGCGGTCATCTAATATGTAGGCAGGTTTCAAGCGATCTATTGATACAGTAACAGGTTTGCCTTTAACTAATAATTTGTATACTTTTTCAGATTTCTCCAGGACAGTATATGGACCGGTGTATGCTGGTTGTAAGGAAGCTCGAACTGCATCTTCCCTTAAAAATACATGTGAAGCCGTTGGTAAATCTTTATAAATAAATATGGACGGTTTTGTATGTCTTGATGCAGGGGAAGGCTTTAAGTTATTAACAAACGAACGTAAGCGGGCAGTGTATTCTGTAACGTCTGTTGTTCCAGCTGTGCTTGGGTCGAAGAATTCTCCCGGTAATCGCAGCGGTTCACCATAGACTAGCTCTGCAGTGCTTGCTTGTATGTCCTCTTTATAGGCGCTTCGAATCCCGAGCAGAACTAAAGGTAAGACTTCCATCCAGTTCTCTGTCGCATGACAGGTAATAGCGGTCTTCAGCTGTCTGTGGAATCTTTCTATAACACCGTTACTTGCAGGATGGTATGCAGTAGTTCTCTTATGCTGAAATCATATTTTTGAAAGATGTTGAAACAAAGAAGATTCAAACTGTCTGCCGCGGTCTGTAACTATATCCACCGGAGAACCAAATTTGATATCCACCCAGCAAGAAAAGCTTTAGCAACTGTTTCAGCTGTAGCATCGGGTATTGGTATCACCTCAGGCCATCGAGTGAATTATCTATAGCAGTGAGGCAATAGCGATTTCCATTACAGATTGGAAGTGGTCCGATGAGATCTATATGGACATGCATGAATCGAGCTCGTGGCAGCTGATAGGTGCCTAAAGGTGAGGATACATGCCTAGTTATCTTAGAACGTTGACAAGCCAGACATGTACGCGTCCACTCTCTGCAGTCTTTTTTAATCCCTGGCCATACGTAGCGTTCTGCTACTAACTTGATTGTTGCATTAGCACCAGGATGACTCAATGAATGCAGGCTATCAAAGACTTGTTTGCGTATGGACTTTGTTACGTAGGGTCTAGGAATTGGAGTGCTCGCATCGCAATATAATTCTGCATGCGTTCCAGGTATCTTCACCTTCTCCAAACGTAATGAAGTTCCATGTTCTAACAGATTGTTTAATTCTGGATCAGCTGCTTGTGACTCAGCAAGTTGAGAGAAATTGATCGACAGTTCCACCTCTTCCACTCTACTCAATGTGTCTGCGACTAGGTTGTCCTTTCCCGAGATGTGTCTCAAGTCAGTTGTAAACTGGGATATAAAATCCAGATGACGAAACTGTCTCGGTGAACATTTATCCCTGCGTTGGTGAAAGGCGTAACACAATGGTTTATGGTCTGTAAAGATCGTGAAATCCCTGGCTTCAACCATGTGTCTAAAATATTTTAATGCTTCATACACAGCAAGCAGCTCTCGATCATAAGGAGAATATTTTTGCTGCGCTGAGGTTAGCTTACGTATATATCTTCATCTTTATATTGTTGCAAGACGGCTCCGATTGCAGTTTCTGAGGCATCTGTCACAAGACCAAGTCTGCATTGGCAATCTGGATAGCAAGAAGTGTAGCGCGGCATAGACTCTCTTTGCAATCTTCAAAGGCTTATATATCACACAGGTTGATAGGATAAGAACCTTTAACTGAGCCAGTCATGAGAGCATGTAGAGGTGCTTGAACTTCAGCAGCGCTGGGAATGAATCGTCTGTAGAAATTCAGCATCCCTAAAAATCTGCGGAGTTCTCGAACTGTCTTGGGAGGAGGAAACGATTTGATCGCTTCAACTTTCTCATCAAGAGGTTTGATACCATTGGCTGATATATTATATCCAAGAAATTTTACTTCAGACCGACCAAAGTTACATTTTGAAATATTGATGACAATTCCGTAATCTTTCAATCTATTGAATAGTATACGCAGGTGCTGCTCATGAAGATCCTCATTTTTGGAAAAGACTAAGAAGTCATCAATGTAAGGGTAAACAAAATCCAATCCACGCGTCATATCATCAACAAAACGCTGAAAAGTCTGCCCAGCATTTCGTAAACCAAACGTCATGGCAGGAAATTCATATAGCCCGAACGGTGTTGTGATGGCAGTTTGTTTTTTTTATATTTGATGATAGGCTCTATTGTTGAGAATACTGTGCAACCTGCTATACTGTGTGTGAAGTCATGAACATGTCTAACTGGATATCTGTCAGGAATGGTGCGAGCATTTAGCATTCGGTAATCTCCACAAGGCCGCCACCCGTTATCCTTCTTCGGTACCAGATGTAATGGCGAGGCCCAGGAGCTTTCCGATGGTCGAGCAATACCTAATTTAATCATAGACTCGAATTCTGCCTTTGCGATTTTTAATTTGTCTGGCGCTAGACGGCGTGGAGTACAATAAATTGGAGGTCCGGGCGTAGTCCTGATGAAGTAACGGTATTGTGTTTGATATCAGCTTGTTTTCTGGATGGATTTGTAATTTCAGGAAATTCCTTCAGGATTTGGTCGTAGCGAGACTCGCCGATTGGTATCTTGATAGAAGAAATTGCAGTCGACGAGTGTGCAGGAGAGCAAACGACGGACAGTGTCGTCGTGTTGTCTAACAATCGTTGGTTACGTAAGTCTACTAGAAGACCATAGAACTTTAGAAAATCAGCTCCTATAATCGCCTTAGTGACGTCACCAACAATGAAACGCCATGGGAAATCACGGCGCAAACCAAGATCCAAATCCAGGTGAGTACATCCAAATGTGCTGATCGTAGTACCGTTAGCAGCAGAAAGTTGGAAATCTGATTTAGGACGACGCTCATGCAGTGCTCGTCGTGGGAAGACACAAACATCGCTTCCTGTATCGATTAGAAATTGCATCTTCGACCGACGATCTACGACGAACAGGCGACCAGACGTGTTGTGACGGCCGTTCGTCGCCATTACCGAATATAATCACAAGGCTTTACGCATCGCTTTGCTTTAGCTCCAAACTTTGCATGATACCAACATTTCGGGAATTTTCTATAGTTGGATTCCGATCGCGTTTCTGAGCGGCTGCGACTTCTCTGACAGGAACGGGGACGAGACTGACGATCCATAAGCACTTTCATCTGCCTCCGGAGTTCGGCTATCTCGTTGGCCAAAGATGATCCACATGTTGATGCAGCTGACACTTGCGGAGTAGCAGGGGCAATATCCTGGATACGGTCTGCCAAATCAGAAAGTACCTCTAGTGACGCTGTAGGTTGAGCAGCTATCACTGTCTGTACGTTGCGTGGTAGTCTACTTGTCCATATGGTCTTGAGAAAGTCCTCTGGCACGTTCGGTCCGGCGAGGCTTTGTAAATGCCGTAAAAATTGTGACGGGCGACGGTCTCCCAATTCCTCATGCATAAGTAGTTGTTTTACCTGCTTCTCGCGTGAGGCACTTAGACGTTTGATAAGTTCAGTTTTCAATTTTTCATACTTTTCCGTCGGAGGTGGTGAAATAATAATGTCCTTCACTTCCTTTGAAAATTGGTGGTCAAGTTGTCCAATCTAGTTAAACTCGTTGCATCTGCTGTTATATTTGAGACGGCGAATTGGCCTTCAACCTGAGCAAACCATATTTCGGGTTCCTCCGGCCAAAATGGCGGAACTCGTATTCCCACTTTAAATATTTCGTCGTTGTTATTAGACGATGCCATTGTAATATGCGTTTTTACGGGGTCACCAGTTATGGGAAATGAGTAAGTAAAATATTTTATTCAATATTCAAACGTCTATATATTTTAAAAAGAATGACAATTTCTAAATTTTATACTGCGCGCGCAACTTCGCATGCGCTGTTATTTATAATTTATTTTTCTACAGAAATTCAAAAGGTATTTATAAAGGTTTGTTATATATACAATATATATATACGCCACACTATGACGGGTGGCTATATATTATTATTATTATATTTAACATTATATACTCCATTTATTATATATTTTCCGTTTCTTTATTGCACACTTTCCTATGCTCAGGGATTACTGATTAACATATATATATATATATATATATATTATATACATATATATATATATATATATTACTTATATATATATATTTTGTATACAGTACATATACTTATTTCTATTTTATTCATAATACTTTATAAATTGTATTATAAATATTATTGCCTAGGTTCGTCATGAAATTTGGTATACATAATACATGTAATTCTTTTTTAATTCCATGGAGGACCATATATTGATATTGCTAGCAATCGGAATGGTAATTCGCATTACTAATAACCCCCCCCCCTCCATTAAATATATTTGCGTGCATATTACAGTACACATGTAGCATATTCCTTCTTAAAAAGCCGACAGTACGTAAGCAATTCCTTCAGTGTTAAGAGTGCTGTGATCACATATCATCAGTCGAGTCGTATGCTCGTTCGCCCCTTTGTGTTATAAAAAAAGTAATTTTCAATTAATCAATCTCTCGTCAGCTTCAAAACCTCTGTTAAAGCCCATTATCTCTCCCTTTAAGTAACTATTTTCCTCTTTTACTTTTTTTTTTTTTATATATATATATGCGTATTTATCTATAATATACCTTTATATATATTTGTTTACATATAATAGTGCGCTACCTACCCTTTATTTTTCTTTCTTTTCTCAATGTCCTCTACCCAAAAGTTGTCTGGAAGAGATTGCTTAGCGATAAGGCCGCCTTTTGTATCATTTCTTATTACAGTTAAATGTATTTACTATTTTATAAATGGTGCAATAAAGTGTAAATAAATAAATAATTTTCTATTTGGAATAGAAGAAATGACCTTATCGTTCTGATTACGCGGACGAAGTTACGGGTAAAAGCTAGTAATTTAATTAAAAAATTTTATTACCTGACAAAAATCTTATTTGTAAAAGTTAAATGCGAATCTGTAACTAATCTTAAATCATAAATTTTTATCACTACGTAGGTACTATTTTTATATAAACATAAGGGAAAGTGGGGAAATAAGAACGATGCCTAATTTCAAACACGATGGAACTATTATCCCCTTATCCCATTCCATCGCCGTTAACTGTCCACTGCTGAATATAGGCCTTTACTGATAGATACGACGGACGGACAACGAAGTGATCTAATAAGGGTTCCGTTTTTCCATTCGGAGGTACGGAACCCTAAAGACAATAAAAAAAATCTATCTAACAAGCATATTGCTCGTCTGATGGTAAACGGTCACTGTAACCTATGGACATAATTCCATTATTTCATTTTTTAGTTTTAATTTTCTCGTAGGTGTCCCCGTTTCCCCCATTTTACCTTATTCTTAATATGTTATTTAGATTGCAAATTACTTTGAGCATAGTGACTTCAAAAGAAGGTTATAAACACGTTGTCAATTCTTAACCGATTTTAATGATGATTTAATTGTTTAAAATTACTCCTCTCTATTCAAAGGTTGCCTGGAAGAGATCGCTTTTAGCGATTGGGTCGCCCATTGTTTTCTCATTGTGATTATTTCTTGTAATTGTTTGTATTTATAGTAAGTTTACTATTGTAGTTTTTTGGAGGAAACAGTAAAGAGTATCTATCTATCTACCTTTTTCCAAGTCTGTTTGTAGATGATCGAGATCAGAATTAACATCGCTGCTATTTTGAAATTACTTCAAAAATAACAACACATACAATGGAACATGGTATCTTCTCCTTTTATGAAGTCGGTTAAAAAGGAGGAAGCCCTCAATTTGGATACATTTATTTATTTATTTATATATTCTTTATTGCATCACTTAAAGAACAATCCAAAATATAAATATTGTACTTATGAAGTACAGAAGGCGGTTTTATATATCGTTTCTCACGTTAGAATGCCAACTTGACATGCTATGCCATGATACGTGATATGACATGTCATGATACGTGATATGACATGTCATGATGCGTGATATGACATGTCATGCTCTTAGCAATAAGACCGCCTTACTGTACTTATACAATTGTATCGTTGTGTTTGTAAATTGCCTTGCTTATTTCCTATATTGTATAATGCAAATAAAGTATACTCATTCATTCATTCATGAAAACTTTTGATAGCGCAACCGGTATTATCATTAAAAAAAAACCAAAGATACAGTAAATTTTTTTTTTATTGAGCGTTATATTCCAATATTTTTACGTCAAAGAAACGGCTGTTTACATAATCCTGGAATATGGAGCTGTGGCTTATCAACGTTTAGAAATCTTCGGTACAGTAAGGTCGCTCCGTGAGGCCTGTGAAGAACCCAGGAAGCTTCTGCGCTTCTGGGCGGAGCTAGGTTGGCTGTACTAGCCACGACTCATACGCACAACGGCCCAAATGAGAGGCTAAGCGCGGAAAAGAGAATCCAATTTACATATGTATATATTCCAATGTTTTGAAACAAATAATAACTTTATTTTTAGGAATTTATATATATATATATATATATATATATATATATATATATATATATATATATATATATATATATATATATATATATATATATATATAATAGGAATTATGCAAGGGACAAATAAAAAATGAAACTTGTTTCCATATTAAAATTTAATGTTGTATTTAAAATTAAGTATTACGAGAAATGTACAAAAATAACACTTATTACAAACAACATAAGTACGTTTTTTAATACAACAATAAAATAACCATACATTACTCTATAATTTTATTACTTTATAATTTGTTAATTATAAATATTTAAACAATTTTAAATATTATTATTTTAAAATTTTATTATTAAATTAAATATATTACATATTTTCTTATAATTAAGTCAGAAACTTAACCAATTAATTGTTCGCCTAACAATACTGAATTACTACAAACTGCTAATTGTGCATAGATGGCGCTCTGAAGAATTAAAAAAGTCACTTGACACGAATCATAATTCATTATAATATAATATATAAACCTGTTGAAGTAAATAGTCATGTTGCGATATATATGCCTCATCTCTAAAGCACTGTTACGTGTGCTCATAACGCTTAAAACTCCAACTCTGCGATTGCCATAAAACGCTGCATAACATGGTTTTTTTTTATAACACAGGGAGCAAACAAGCATGCGGCTCACCCGATGATAAGTGACTACAGCCGTCCATGATCATCCACGACATCAATGGTATTGCAGGCGTGCTGCCGGCTTTAAAAAGGAATATTTTTCTCAGGCTCATTTTTTAAGGTCGTATCGGATCGGCGTGGAAGAAAGTGACTTGAAAAACGGACGCTGGAAGACCGCCACTCATCCAAATGGTTGGAATGGATTTTTAGTTTATGACGGGTTGTATGGTGGGCCGAGGTACACATACGTGAGTCCATCAATGCCTAGTTGTGGCCAAGGCTTGTATAGTACTTTTCTCAAACAATGCGCGGAAATCAAAAACACAATTTTACTTTTTAAGTTCAATGACGAATAACGAACAATAATAATTTTTCACGCGCCATAATGTACCTTTGTTTTTTTTATCAATAAACAGCTTTCTATTTGCAAGCCAGTTCGAAATTTAAATAAAACCTTTTATTAGTTACCTCCTTGGTAGCCATGTTTCGAAGTAAAAAGTCATTCCATTTTTAAATTACAGAACAGATATGAGTTTACATAGTAATTTATGTGGCCGCAAAACACGACAGATATGGATTTTCATACAACTTTTGCCGGCCGCTGCCCGCATGTATCTGGTCAGTACGGCAATTTTGATTTATTTCGAAGAAGATTGTCAAAATAATGCTCACAATACTGCTTATGTTTAACAGTGAACAGGTTAAACATGTCCATGTTACTGACCGAATATATATATATATATATATATAAACTTTGATTTATATTATATTAGATTGTAATTACTTGTAACCTTAATATAATGTAAGTGTTGTGGATTATTTAAATAAATTTTCATTCATTATTTCATTCATCAAAAAATACATATCACAGACAATTCCAAGGATAAATTAACAACACTACCTAAAACCCGACCATGTAAATAAGTATCTACTTATAAATATATACTTAACAATTACTTAATTAGTATGTTAAGAAATTAATGAAATGCAATGTAAAACTGCTTTAAAATGATATATATTTTTTTTTATAACACGGCAAATACGCATGCGGTATCACCTGATGGTAAGTAACTACCGCCGCCCACGATCACCCGCAACACCAGAGGCATTGCAGGTGCGCTGCCGGCCTTTTACAAAGCAATACGCTCTTATCTCGAAGATTATGATTAACATGGGAATTAACGGAGCTTACAAAATAATTAGCAACTAATTAAAATTATTTGGGACTTAAACAATATTTTAACACAGTTTTACTAACTCTTCAACGCGGTTTCACTCGCGCCGACATGTCATTTCGTTCATTTATAATTTATAATATAAACTCATAGTTCAAGTTGTGTGTCGACAGACCACGCATTACCATAAAATCGAATTCCGAAATTTGGGATAAGAATTTCAATAAAATTTCATCTACTAGGGAGGGGGGAGGAAGGGATTATTAGTAATCGCTTTACTGCTAGCAATATACCCTATCAGGTCGACCCCCTACATGAGGTTTCCCCTGGAAACCATCGTGGTTGATTATTGTGAAATTCACCACGATGTGCCAACTGGGCCAGCATCTTCATCATCGCCTATCATTTCTCACTGGTGTCCCGCTTCGTATACCGATATCGCAGGCGGGGTTGCCATTCTATTTTCATCTATTAAAAAAACCTATTAGGAATTATAGTTATGGGTAATCTTATATATAAAATTCTCGTGTCGCGGTGTTTGTTACCAAACTCCTCCGAAACGGCATAACCGATATTTATGAAATTTTGTGTGCATATCGGGTAGGTCTGAGAATCGGCCAACATCTATTTTTCATACCCGTAAGTGATAAGGGTGATCCACCCCAAAATATTTTTTTTATTTTTTTGACATTTTTTTTTTTGTTTTTATTTTATTATAATTTAGCATTGAAAAATACATACAACTTTAAATTTTCATCGTTTTACGATCAACCCCTGTATTTTAATCGCGACTTTTATATTTCGCAATAAGTGGTAAAACAACGTTTACGGGGTCAGCTAGTTTATATATATATATATTTATATCTACTTACACATAACTTTAAGCCATTGATTGTCGAAAAAAATTTTAAAACTAAAAATACTAATTAAAGCGTATACAGTAGTACGCAATGGGATCGATTCTAAAGCACCATTCCACTAAATCTATCTCCTAATGTTTTAATTTAATATCCAAACATTAGCAAAAGCCTAACTGCGGTTGCCAAGGGAGAAAGGGATTGTTAGTAATGGAGACTGATAATCCCATTGCTAGCAATATACCCAACCAGGTCGAGCTCCTCGCGGTTCTCTCTAGAAACTATCATGGTCAATTCCCGATGAATTCATCATGATGGGCTTACTGGCCTGTTTTCATTCTCATCTATCACCCTTCACTGGTGCTCCGCCAGCGTATCCCGGTAGCGCAGGCGGGGTTACCATACCATTTTCACCCATCAAAAAAAAAACTGCGGTTGCCAACCCGCCAGCCAAGTAACTACTAGCAAAACCAATAGAGAAAAACTATGTTCAGCATTGGCCAGTTAACGGCTATTGTAATAATAATAATAATATGCAATAAATAATCTTGAGACATAGCCAAAAAATACATGCAGAATATTCTTAGTGCCATGTAAATACGCAATGACAAAGCAGAAGGTAGCCAGACGCGACCAGAAGGTGGCCGATCATGATGGGGAAGCCAATCTTTAAGAATTGCATGAATGTGAACCTATAGCCGTACTGCTCGGCGACGCCTGCGCATACAACGTTCGCGCTCGCTCCAATTAGTGTGCCGTTACCTGTAAATTAAAAAAAATATATAATTACTATATATATATATATATATATATATATATATATATATATATATATATATATATATATATAAAAATAATATGTTATGAACGAATAAAAACTCTTTATTGTTCCACTTGAATGAATAAAAACTCTACTGTTAGCCCTTCAACGAATGATATAAATTATAATGATTGACACACAAGTCGATTGCTTGGGTACCTCTGTTCCATCAAACCGAAACACAGCTATGCAAACACAACTGCTTCACGGTTGAAACACGAATGGGACAGAGGTACCCAAGCAATCGACTTTTGTACAAAGTCTCCCACTGGTATTCGCATATACCATGTTTTTTTTTGTGGTGGATGATAATGGAATGGTAACCTTGCCTGTGCTAATGGTATACGTTGGCGGGGCATCAGTGAGGGATGATAGGTCAGGATCAAACGACAGTTAGCCATTTGTGATTAGTACATCTGAAATTCAGCACGATGGTTTCCCGGGGCGAAAAGGCTGTGAATCGCACTCCTGAATCATTGGATTTAAAACTAGTCGGCCATTCTCAAATTTATGACGTGATCAAAACTGACATAAATACATACAATATTTTTTAATTAGCTCAATAAAATGTACATTAACTTACCTCCTAAACACGCCCCGAAGGACAACGCCCAGACCAGCGGTGCCATCGGCAAACCGAGGTTAGGATTGGACCCTAGTGACGTCACCACACGAACCATCATCGTTGTCAAAGGTATATTATCCACAAACGCGGAAGATATACCCGATATCTGAAAAAGTATTTATTTAGTTAACATGAACATTACCGTGGACACAACAATGTGTCGCTCTTCGTGTGTTATCATTACTGAGGACTCAGACGTTATGCCTCTGTACCCTGTAAATTCACTGCCATATCCCACTCTTCAAACCGAAACACAGCCATGCAAACACGACTGCTTCACGACTAATATAAAGAATAATAATGCTAATAGAAAGGAGTGGGGGGGGGGGGAGAGATTATAGTAATGCGGACTGTCAATGCCAATGCTAGCAATATCGTCAGGTCGACCTGCCCGTGGTCCCCTCTCGAGACCATTGTCTGCTGACATCGACTTGATACAAACACTTTATATCAAGTCTTCTATTTTAATGCATATATAAACTTTTATTCATTATGATGGGCTAACTGACCTACCCTGGGGGAAAGGGATTGTTAATAATGCGGTTTAACAACCCCATTGCTAGCAATTTGCTATCCCTATCAGGTCAACCTGCATGCGGTTTCCCCTATAAACCATAGAGGTTAATTCTTGTTCAATTGATCACTATAGGCCAACTGACCTGCCTTTTCATCCTCACCTGTCACCCTTCACTGGTACCCTGCCAGCGTATACCGATAGCGCAGGCAGGCTTACCATTCCATCTTCACCCATAAAAAGTGTGCGTGTGTGTAAGTATATACAGAACTGATAAAACAACGAGTCAGTTAATTTGACAATTAGCTGACAAATAGTTAACCCGATTTTGAGGCTCGATGCTCTATCTACGGGTATATAATCTACGCTGAAACCTTTCTTTCTAGTTTACATTCAGCCATTGAATGAATGAATGAATGGTTTATTTTCTCTTCATAAAAGGTAGTATAAAGTGACAACTTGAGGTACAATTTGATATAAAGACCAATTTTGTGAGAGACTGGTGCTTGCGGTAGGTTTTGAAGAACCTGTGATACAAGTCACAAGTCACCAGCCATTTTTAATAGTACAAAAAGCATCATGTTATGCTCACCCAAAGCATGAGTAGTATAGAGACTGCTAGTCTTGCATTCTCATCCACCTTCAGTATAAGATCTTCCGTTAAACCGCCAATAAATTGGATGAGTCCCAGTTTGGAAAGAGCCTGAAAAATATTATTAATTTTATTATAATTAAACCAAGTTTTAATTAACACGCTGACTGCTAACTACGAGATAACATGAACATTGCGTTCTTTTCTAAGACGCCAACTACGAGTTATCTCGTCCTGTGTTTAGTTGACATTTTTGTGCATCTACGATTGAACTTCGGAATATATCAATGCTAATATCGATAGATAGCTTCTGAGAAAAGAACAAAAAATCAATGCTGGCTACGGTAACCGCTTACCATCAGGTGGGCCGTATGCTTGTTTGCCACCTCAGTGGTAAAAAAAAACATTTTAATACAAAAATAGACGTCAGTATGACAAATAATTGCTATCTGGATTAGTAATATACACAATTTATTAATAATTTTAATATTTAGTGATGCCATTATAATATTTACAAATGTGTTATCATATTTTTAGTAGTATTGAAATTCGATATCTAATTGGACCATTCGATCATATCACCAATGAGTGTTTATTCAAGCAATAGATTTGATAAATTTGATAAACATAATGACCTTTTACTACATCGATGTTGGGTTTTGATAAACATAAATGACCTTTCATTCTATTGATATTTAGTGATAAGTTATAAACAGATCGTTATTGCATGTATATTTGTTATTATATATTTTATTTATATAAATATATACAAATTTGATCATGTTTGTTTATTTAAATCGATATTGCTGTCTGCTAGTAATTTAAATGGACCCAAAATCGAGCCTTGCGATACACCTGTGTTTATTCTAAACATGTGGTGAAGAAATTATTTAATTTGAATTTTTCCATTAAAACCAAACAAATGAGAAATATCAAAACAGATTACAAATCATGTTTACATAGATAGAATAAATAAAAACGCTATCTGCAGTCGTAAAACTGTCTATGGCCATCTTTTAATTTACATTAAAAACAGAATTATTATTCTTATTAATTAAATATTAATGTTTTCTCTCAATAAACATTTATCACTTATTTAGTCACTGAATGGATATTGTTGAAAACTGTGATAATTGCTGAATGAATATTATATTTTTTAATTAAACAATTTTAATCCATTTTTTACGAGCAATGCGACAGAATGTGGTTTTGCAATAATAAAGGCATTCTTACATATTAAATTGATTGGGCATGAATGGATATTTGGCATAGATTGGGCCACCCCTTTCTTTCGTGTGGCTGTCGTCAAAGGCAACTAAGATCGGCAAACTATAACTAACATCACTATAATGATCGAGGGATGGGACAAATAAAAACATACCATAAGATATACCTCCCATAAGACTGATCGCCACTAAGTCCGGTTTCAAAATTAATTTACAAAAATTCTTAATTGAGAGGGTAAAGTTAGACATTCCAACAAGTTACCTCTATGTTCCATTTGTCTGCTAGATAAACTGTCATATCTGTCTGTTTACTATATATCTATCTATTTACTGTATGGATAATCCGGTAGTATTGTTTTATTGTTACCGCCTGCCAAGAATATCAGTGGTGAGAGCGAAACGATAAACTGAGTTGTGACCATTTTGTATTTTTATGGCACACGCACAAACGACAAATTGTTTTTAGCTTTATGTATTTTTTTTTATATATGGAGTGTGTGTCAACTATTTATCGTGGACAGTTAACGGTTGATGTAATAAAAAATTATAAAATAAATAAAAACATATCGTAGTACGGCACGATATTGCACAATTTTTAATTGATTTAAAAAAAGGAGGTTCTGGAGAGAGACTTTGTATAAAAGTCGTTTGCTTGGGCATCTCTGTCCCATTCGTGTTTCTACGGTGAAGCAGTTGTTTGCATAGCTGTGTTTCGGTTTGAAGGATGGGATATGGCAGTGAATTTATAGGTTACAGAGGAATAACACATTAGTCTTATAGAATGACAACGCACGGGGAGGGGGAGGTATCATGGGAAAAACAGTATACTCTGTTATGTCTATGGTACTGCTCATGTCTATAGACGACGGTAAACTCTTTCCAGATGGGCTTGTTTGCCATCTAGATAGAAACAGGATTCAATAGAAACACGAGTGGGACAGAGGTACAAACGAATTTTGTACAAAGTCTCTCTCTTATAATGTCTTAGTAAAATGTGACAAAACTTAAGATATGTTTTGTTCTAAAGACAACGATAAATTTATGAATGCTGCGTATTTTTAACACACCTCCATCAGAACGAAGAGTGCTGCAAAGAACAGCAGAGTGGACCACTCGACTCTGTGAAGAATCGGTTCTAGATCGGCACGATCTGCCAGCGTCAGGAGTAATATGGCTCCAAGCAGTGCCGTCCAGCCCAGCGATATACGATCTAAAAATAGGTTAAATTGAGAAATATTATATATACCACTGCACAGCGTCAGTATTTTTCAAAAATACTATTTAAGTTCACTGATAATGTAGTCAATATATGTAGAAGGTTTTTTTTTAAATGAGATAAGTATTTTAAATACATTATCAGGACTAAGGGACTACTTACACTTATTTAGCTCTATTCAGCTTTTGTCCATAGAAAACAACAATTTTGTATGGAGACGTGTACGCATCCATTCAGCTTTCCGCGTCGATTTTGCTTTCGCGGCAATCCAGTATAAAATGAGGATAAAAATGTATTTATCATGCGAATGCTATAGAGAGCGTTCAGTGCTGTTGCGCCGCGTTCAGCGCTGTTCCGCTGCATTCATCGTCGAAACGCGGCAAAACAGCTCTTCAGGGACATTTCGCGACTCCTTGTCGACTAGTTGCGAACTGTATTGTTTCTGTATTGATTTGATTTATTATTGCGTAATCATTATGTACGCAAGGAATAAAGAGTGCAGACGTATTTTATAGTAATTATAATTATTTTATTTTTACGAAATGCAACATAATTCTACATCGTACGCAGTAGGCAAGCGTTTCAGCGGAGATAGCACTCTATGGTGGCTTTTCTCATTCTTACGACGCCGTACGCGGCTGATAGAAGCAGAGCTGTATAAGTGTGACTAAAATCGTTCAGCGAAACGCGAATGGAGCTGAATAAGTGTGAGTAGCCCCTTAGTGTGATGAGAACTGTAGGTAAACAGTACCTACATATCTGGTCCTGTCGTGACCTCGAGATAATAATGAAAAAGAATACTTACTTAATTCAGGTATTGAATGCAAGAAGAATACTGCAACAACAAATAATATTGCCACCGACGACTTTACTAATAGTGGCTTGTCGCGTATTTTGTACTGAAATTGAGAAAATTGGCATTAGAATTACAATATTAAATATTGTTAAAAGATTCGTAAGCATACACTATATTTTAATGTAATAACCACCAATTTAACTCGCTTGTAATTTGATCGAGAAAGCTCGACTAGTTTCGGGACCAACTCGGGTCCCTTAATCATGAGCGGCTGCGAATCGGCTATGACTCAATCAGGCTTGCGCGCTAATTATTACATTAAAATTTATATATATATAAAATCAATCACAGAAATACTCGTGGAAACAGATTAGTTTCCACAACTAGCAAGATGAACATATTCGACATTTCGTCCTATCAATTGCAAAAGGATTTATCAAAATCGGCCCAGTATAAACGACAATATCAAGTAACATCTACACAAAAAAAAACTAATAAATTTAGAACGTCCTCTTTTTTGAATTCGCGTAAAAATAAACATTTGAATATATTGATTTCTTAAACCAGAAATACAAAATTTCTGGATTACGACGTTACCTTTTCCTTCATTTCTTTTAGAGTATTCTCGAATGTACTCTTGGGGCAAGCTCTCTTCCTGCTCTCCCTCTCCAGTACCTCCAGCTGACCGTTCAGCTTACGAATCTTCCTCTCTAATCTCTCTTTCACCACTTGCTCATCTTTGCTTAGATGTGGGAGAGAGTCGGCCGCCCGACGCCATATTGAGATCTGCTGGCGAAGTTCTGAAAGCATTGATAATAATTGCATCATTGATATTATTAGAAAAAAAAACTTGTACCGCTCCCCAAATTAATAAGTAATAATAAATACTCAATCTAATAAAAAATGTGTGGTCCCGGCATAGAACAGGCCTCTCCTACCTTTTCCGTGGTTGTCGTAAGAGGCGACTAAAGGAGGACGAAGGATAGGCAGTAGCGTCCCTCTTAAAACATCTCTAAAGTCTAACTATGATTACCAATCTGCCTGCCAAGTATGGCAACTACTGGAAAAATCTCCCAAAGGGGAGGCTTATGTTCAGCAGTGGACAGTTAAAGGCTGATATGATGAAATACTCAAACTAAGCAGAACTTGTACTATGAATACTAAATAACAGATAGAAATATTTATTGTATTTAATTAATTGTATTAAATTGTTACAATAAATACCTGACCAGTTTCACAGTTCAACACATTTTCAAAAGCGTATAAAAGTAGAAACTTGTTATTTTTTTTTTTCATGCAATTAATTGTATTGTACAATGAAGGAACGGTAAATTTCAACAGAATCAACTATTACAATATACAATTATGTATCACGTATTTAGAATAACTTTACAGACGTAAGAGGCTGTGATAAACACCATTAGATGAGCTCTGTTGTTCCATAATCTAACTCTTATTATTACTCCATCATTGAGATAAATTATAAAAAAGAATAATCAAATTTGATGACCTTAAATAGTTTTATATGATTCATACAGCGCTACGTTTAGATTCCAAAAACGCAATATAAAATTACCATATTCCAATTAAATCTAATCCGGCTCGAAGGACTAGTTTTCGCTGTTTACCGAAATTAAAAAGCTAATAAAGCAACCACGTTTATCATAAAAATATAATATATAATTTAGGACGAATCATGCATGTGGAAGCAGCAAGACATAGATATTGAGATATTTTGTACTGGCTCTCTTCTAGTACAAAATAAAGTATTTATAAATCTTAAAGCTCACCTTGAATTTCGCGCGGCACTTTTAGTCGAAGTTTGTTTGTGTCACGATATATATATCTAATCTGTAAGTACGTCTGTGCACACACCAATACTATACCCATTGACATGTGAAGTGTGAAGTTTGTGAAGTTGATGCCCTGTTAACAAAAATGTACCATGAAAAAAAACACAACTGGTTAGAACTAATTTACAAGGTTTAATTAAAACATTAACTGACAAGTTACATACTAACTTAGTAAAAAAGAAAAACAAGTGATAAAAAGTCAATGAACAACGAGATGTTTCGATCTGATTTATCTAATATTACTTAGATTGAAAATATTTAAATTAAAAACGTTGAATCTAGACGTACAAATAACTGCTACATTTAATATATTATCATATTGTGAAATTATTTTATTTTCACTGTGATGCTATCTATCACAAATGATAAAAGTTTTTTTTTTTTTTATACAACTTAGAATGGCAAACAAGCTGACGGTCCACCTAATGGAAAGTGGTAACCGTCGCCTATAGACATGTGCAATACCATGGACATAACAGAGTATACTGTTTCGCCCATGACACCCCCCATGCGTTGCTATTCCTGAGGACTCAGGTGTTATTCCTCTGTACCCAGTAATTTCACGCCATATCCCACCCTTCAAACCGAAACACAGCTATGCAAACACAACTGCTTCACGGTTGAAACACGAATGGGACAGAGGTACCCAAGCAATCTACTTTTGTACAAAGTCTCCGTCTGGTGATTTTTCCTTGCAATAAGTTCATTATTACTAATTATTATTTACTATTGGAAATTAAATATGAATTATGATGTTATAAGATAAAAGCGAGCGACTTAAAAACTTTAGCACGGTGTGATAAACTCTCTATTCGTTCGTTTTTAACGCAGGCGAACATCTGCTGCGATTTTATTTCACCACTAACTAGCCGTTAAATCACAAATAAATCAGAATGTAGCGACTACTTTAAACTTCATTTAGAGCTATTTTTATCAGCTATATAAAGCTAAGTAGCGGATGTGACGCTTCGCGTAACAGGTGACATGTCACTAGCTACATGTGAATTATTACAAACCTACTAGATTTACGTACAACAGTTTTTTGTTGTGTAAAGCAATCAAAGGTTGCATTTTTGTTTTGTTATTCAGTGATATATAAACATGAATAACCATATTGTTTATGTCTATCAATAATATGTAGTTACCATATCTGTAGTTGTAGTGGCATAAAAAATACTTACCGATTGTGTGACAGCTTTATTGGAGGCAATAATCACGTTAGGTGGATCTCCTACAGGTGTCATAGTGCCGCCAATATTGCTGTATATCACCATGGACATTAGTATGGGGACGGGATCTAGTTCCATCACTTCACATAACCTGAAAATAATGAATAGTGTATACTATAATGTAATTAGAATAGTGTACAAAGTAGACATAATACATACATCATCATCATCATCTTCCTACCCTTATTCCAATTATTATTTGGGGTCGGCGTAATATGGTTTTATCCATATTACTAAAGGATTTGGCTTATAGTTTTAAGACCGGCCGCCTGCCTGACGTCAACCCTCTTTGGGAATGCATTTACTGGTGGCTTCCGCCACTTACGGTTTGCAGGAAAGGATTGAGGAAAAAAGGAAAGGAACATTGGAAATGCGTAAAGGAAATTAGTAAATGAGAGGAATAAGCGACTCAAAAGGGGGGGGGGGGGGAGGGCACTGCAGTTGCGTAAAAGACTAGGACACTGCAGCGGGTCAGGAAGCCGGGGTCGCATACCCCTATGCCCTTATTCTAGAATCGGACAGATTTCTAGAGAAGAACATACAAGAGAAATAGTGTCGATTGCTTGGGCACCTCTGTCCCATTCGTATTTATACCGTGAAGCAGTTGTGTTTGTATGGCTGTGTTTCGGTTTGAAGGGTTGAATATGGCGTGAATTTACTAGGTACAGAGGAATAACATCTGAGTCCTCAGGAATGGCAACGCATGGGAGGTATCATGGGCGAAACAGAAACTCTATTATGTCCATGGTACTGCTCATATCTTAAGGCGACGGTTACCACTTTCCATCAGGTGGGCCGTCAGCTTCTTTGCCATTCTAAGTTGTATAAAAAAAAAGTCATTGTAGTATGGCAAGGGCATGTGGTTAACGAGGAATTGTTTGATCACATACCTGATAGTCACAGGCGTCATAAGCAATACTGTAGTGACGTTATCCAGAAATGTTGATAGTGCAGCTGTGATGACGCTGAGAAGAGTGATCAGAGGCCAAAGCTTGCCTTTTGTGACCTGTAGGGTAAATATAAATTTTGCTAACATCGCATTTGATAGAGAGGTTACTAACAGGGACTAGCTCCATTGCTAGCGATATGTCTTATCAGATCAATTTCTTTTTTTTTGGAAACTATTGTTGTTTATTCCGGATGAATTTAGCATCCCACTGACCTGACTTCATCTTCACGTAACCCCTTAATTCATAGCCCTCCAGTGTAAATCAATAGAACAGGTGGCAAACCATTCCACTTTTATCCACAAAAAAGCAACTTTACCCAAAAACTTTATAGCCTCACCGATTGTTGGTACTTCTAGTGATGTAGCCAAATTTTTAATTACTTATTTGAGAGACATTTTGTACAAAAGTCCTACTACAAAAGTACTAAAAGTCCTGGGTAGAGTTACCCAAGCAGAGGACCCATTCCACCAGAGGTTTTTCTGTCGTTAACTGCTGTACTTGCATGGCTGTGTTTCGATTTGAAGGGTGGGACATGGTAGTGGTAATCACCGTGTGGTCCCGGCATATAGTCGACCACTCCTGTCTTTCCCGTGGGTGTCGTAAGAGGCGATTAAGGGAACTTGGTCGAGGAACAGGTAGCAGCGTCCTTCACAAAACATCACCAAAGCCTAACTGTGGTTACCAATCCACCTGCCGAGCGTGATAACTACAGGCAAATTTCCACAAACAGGTCTATGTTTTTTTTTAACAAGCATTCAGCTCACCTGGTGGTAAGTGACTACCGCCGCCCATGATCACCCACAATACCAGAGGCATTGCAGGTGTGCTGCCGGCAAGTGACATTACACCATGAACGTACCACTATAGTCCTCAGGAATAAGAGGGGAAAGGGATTGTTAGTAATGGAGACTGAGAATCCCATTGCTAGCAATATACCCAATCAGGTCGACCTACTCGCGGTCCCCCCTGGTATAAACTATAATGGTTAATTCCTGATGAAATCGTCATGATGGGCTAACTGGCCTGTTTTCATTCTCATCTATCACCCTTCACTGGTGCTCCGCCAACGTATCCCGTTAGCGCAGGCGGGGTTACCATACCATTTTCACCCATAAAAAAAAGTCCTCAGGAATAACAACGCATGCGAAGTATCATGGATATCTTAGTGTATCCTGTAATGTTCATAATGCTGTTTCCGTCTACAAGTGACAGTCGTCATTTTTCATAAGACTTTTATTCTAAACTGTTTGCCATTTTTAGTATCATAAAAAAATACCTCAAAAGTATAAACCGCTAGGAAATCAAACATGCCAGTTTCCGCCATGATCGCGACCAGCACCATCATGCTGAAGAGCAGCAGCAGCGTCTCCACGTCCAGCCAGGATATGACCTCGGGCAGGGACGGTCTTTCCCCGGCCAACGCTAGTGTTGCCAACGCTGTGGTGGATATTAGGACTGCAGCCATCGTCCTGTTAATAATCTGTGAAGACTTATTTGTTTGTATTGTAATTAAGAAAAAAAAATGTAGTTTAAAAATTATTTAGATTTCAAATGGTTCTTTCCAATGCTAAAATGAATTAATTTGTAGGAGTTTACCCCTAAAAATTTGCTATGGCAGAGATAACGTTCACATTTACCTATACTTTATCTTACATTCCTTCAAAATTATTTTTTATGCCATCTATTGTCTACTAGAGACAAAGACTGCTCTATCTACTTGACGACAAACACGAGAAGTTTTGAAAAAAATGACATCATCATCATCATTCCAACCATTATCTGTCCACTGCTGAACATACGCCTCCCCCATAGTCTGCCATAAGAAACGGTCATGAGCCACCTGCATCCACTGACTTTCTGGAAAGCATTTGAAGTTGTCAATTCATCTAGTGGGGGTCGTTCTACACCACGTTTGCCCGTACGGGGTCGTCACTCAAGAACCTTGTTTCCCCATTGGTTGTCGAAAAAATTGCAATTTAAGACTAATTTTCAAAATTTCATTATTTTATAACTTTGACCTTTATTTAGCTCATTATATTATGATACATATATGAACATTTGATTATACATATATGAACATTTTGTCACAATTAGATTAGTTATTTTGAAGTAAAATAGTAAGACATGAACTGACAAAACCAGTACACAAAGAGAAAAAATAAAATAGTTTTTTTATTTAACTTCGTGTACATAACAATGGTACACATGGCGAACATGACATCTAAAGGCATTCTCTACCAGTCAACCGTGGCAAACAGAAACGTTTGCCTCATCAAAAATCATCGTTTTCTTTTTTAAATTTAATACTGCATGAAGGCAACAGGTTTGCGGAAGTATCACTTCTACTCAGTAGGTATGCCATAATCTTATACAGAGAGAACGACTGAGTAAATGGCTTAATGCCAATATATGTACGTATATGTGGCATAAATAATTATGATTACTAATACAGTAGAATCTCGATTATCCGAATCAAATAAAATCAGAGGTATTACGTATAATTGAAAATCCGGATAATCGATTTCAGTTTGATATTTTTATATTTTTATATTATGTAAAGGGTTTTATGTAATATAATATGTATGTATGTCATATAGATAATACGACTTATAAAGAATTATGAGTTAAAAAGATAATGGATTACAAAACGCCTATTTACCCAATTGACACATAATACAATCTTGCAATGATTTATATTTATAATAAGTTTACTATTGTAATCTTTTAGAGGAAACAATAAAGACTATCTATCTATCTACAATTTTTAAATCAGTAATTAGAGCTATGAAGAATAAGTCCGGATAATCAAATATCCGGATAATTGATGTTCGGATAATCAAAATTCTACTATATTTCTAAATCTATAGATACTGACCTCGAAAATTATTAACACATACAATCCGCAGAGCAAGACACACGCGTAAATAACACCGGTAGTCATGTCCAAAGGGTTGGTAGTATAACTCATTTTGAAGGTACGGTTTGATTCGCAGTGGACCGCATCTGCACGGCATACACGCTGGAACTGTTTGAGTTGGTAATGTTTGATGTTAGAGTCAGCACCGACACCCTGGGTTCCCCTTTGTTGAAGTCTACTTCGTTTTGTAATATTATTTTCCATGGAGCGATTTCCTGCGAGAAAATTAAAGGTATTAAATATTTTTTCAGCTTGGAATGGCAAGCAAACTAACAGCCAACTCGAAAAGCGGCACCCGTCGCCTATAGACGTGAAAAGTACAATGAATATTATAGTTTGTGAAGCTCATAGTATATCGTACAATCCGCCACAAACTAAAGTTCCATCCCAATCCCCCCAATCCCATTTGAACGAGTGGCGGTCCTCCACGGTGAGTTTTCGAAACCATTTCTTTCTACACACAACCACGCTTTGGAATCAACTTCCAACAGTAGTATTTCCGAACCGATACGATATCGTAAACTTCAAGAGTATATTCCCTCTATCTCTTCAAGAGTATATTATCTCCCTCTTATTTAACTCTGACAGATTTACCTCTTTAAACTTCACATCAGAAGCTGCGATTTGATCACCAGCATCACTCTTCAGGTGCCATCTCTCAAGCCACACCTCCATCTTGTCAACGTCATCGTACTCTGAAGAATTCAGTCTTGTCTCGGTCTGTTCCGATAGGAATGGCCCGGACAGCGATATCAGAATCTTGAGTTTATCATCTGATATTCGTAATATGTAACCTGGAAGATGCCATCATTATATTATATTGTTTCATGTTAAACTAGCTATTCCCGTGACTTTATTCATAGTTAATTTTAATTAGCAGTTTTTAAATTGGCGAGCGGTTTTATTTATTGTTTACCCATATAGTAATAATTTATTATAATTTTTGCCTTTATAATACAAGAAGTATTGTATAACCTTATAATAAACACGTTTACTAGCTAAAGACATTGCAATTGTGTGGGTTATAATTCATTCAGGAAAATACCGTGTATTATTTTACACTTTACTTCAATACATAATAATAAAAACTACGCGCCAATTTATAAATTTTACTTCAAATTATCATTAATTACAAGATAATCAACAAAAGCCTATAAAAATATCAATTTTTGGGCCGTCTAGTATCCTTGTACAATTTTGTTTAATGACCAACCATCACCCATCAAAAAAAAAATAACCAACCATCTTAAGGGCTCTGGATGCTTACGAAACTACAGCATTCGTCAAAATATACGTAAATTAATTTAGTTTTTAGATTCAGATTCCGATTCTTTGTTTGCATTGAACATGGTTAGATACATTAGACATTCAGTTGTTTATGCATCGAGCTACATGTTTTACTAAAATCCTGGTATGTGTTATTTATTAAAATACTAAAACCTAGTCATTTAAGTATATCAAAAATAAACAAATTATCGAGTTTTTTTTTATACGACTTAGAATGGCAAACAAGCTGACGGCCCACCTGATGTAAAGTGGTAACCGTCGCCTATAGACATGAGCAGTATCATGGATATAACAGAGTATACTGTTTCGCCCATGATACCCCCCATGCGTTGCCATTCCTGAGGACTCAGGTGTTATTCCTCTGTACCCTGTAAATTCACGCCATATCCCACCCTTCAAACCGAAACACAGCCATGCAAACACAACTGCTTCACGGTTGAAACGCGAATGGGACAGAAGTGCCCAAGCAATCGACTTTTGTACAAAGTCTCCCTCTGGTAAATTAAATGTTCATTATTAATGTTATTAATTAGGTCTATCTATCCTATTTAAGAGCTGCGCTCTTGTCAGTGGAGCTCTTGCCACTCACTACGACTTTCAGCGAGTCTCTTCACCTCTTGATACGACACGACACCAACTCCCTCCTTGATCTGCCTGATGTAACTATGTCTCGGTCTCCCTCTCCCCCTTCTTCCTTCTATCTTACCTTCTATTATAATGTTCATAAGTTCGTCGTGTCGTATCAAGTGTCCCAACATTTTAACATTAATTAGGTATATAATATAAAATACAAAAATTACATTAATATTAAAATAAAAAAAAAAAAACAATTAATTGGTATTAACTCAGACTTTTTTAATATATATTCTTGTTATTTTTTTGTTCAAATGTTTAAAAAAAATTAACATCAAAATAATATTTTTTTAAATGTTTAACATCAAATTTTCAGGTAACTTAATCAATACTTTCACACAAGTATTGTTTTAACCTATCAAAAAAGGGGGAAAGGGATTGTTAGTAATGGAGACTGAGAATCCCATTGCTAGCAATATACCCAACTAGGTTGACCTCCTCGCGGTTCCCCCTGGAAACTATCATGGTTAATTCCTGATGAATTCTTCATGATGGGCTAACTGGCCTGTTTTCATTCTCATCTATCACCCTTCACTGGTGCTCCGTCAGCGTATCCCGTTAGCGCAGGCGGGGCTACCATACCATTTTCACCCATCAAAAAAAAACCTTTTAAAAATAAACACGAACTTAAATTTAATAGTTTACTTTTCAATTCTCCAGGCGTGACGGCGGTATTTCTTATTACCACTTCTTTCTCGTTGTATAAAAGAAAGACGACCGTGAAGAATAACCAACAGGCCAGCAGAAGCACCATCTTTGTGTAGTGTCTCGCTTGTGTGATCTGGTGACAAAATATATTACTTAGAATTTTTTTATACAACTTAGAATGGCAAACAAGCTGACGGCCCACCTGATGGAAAGTGGTAACCGTCGCCTATAGACATGAGCAGTACCATGGACATAACAGAGTATACTGTTTCGCCCATGACACCCCCCATGCGTTGCCATTCCTGAGGACTCAGGTGTTATTCCTCTGTACCCTGTAAATTCACGCCATATCCCACCCTTCAAACCGAAACACAGCCATGCGAACACAACTGCTTCACGGTTGAAACACGAATGGGACAGAGGTACCCAAGCAAACGACTTTTGTACAAAGTCTCCCTCTGGTAAATTTACCACTTTATTCCGAAAGCATTTTTACTCAATAAGAATGAACAAGTACGGGCAATTAAACTGTTACTATTTTCAAATAAAAGTCGATTCCACAACAAAAACAAAATATGGATGGATAAAATTAATATCACAAACTTCATATTGATAAAAAATGTAAATCAAATGAAATTAGTAACAAATCGAAATATATAATCGATTAATCTGTTTTTTTACGTAAATCACAAGACTGAGACTGAGTTCGTTCAATTATTTGTTTATATACATTTTCTTTCGGTTTTTTTTATTGTTATAGTACGTTATGTGACCATTCCATCCTGAGTGAACACAGAGACAATATGGTCCATGATATAAAATGAAATTAAATGAAATGAAATGATTTGAAATGAAATTAAAATTATTGCTATAATTGTGATAAGTTGTTGTGGTAAGTAAAAAATTTAAATACCTTCGATGGCCTCTTGTGATCTGAAGTGTTTTTGAATCTGAAAAAAGAATAAAAAATACTTATTCACGTTTTTATAACGAAATAGAATATCAATAATCAGTTTAGAATAAATTTAACAAATATATTGCCTTTGTGTGGGTGCATGTGCATGCGCGTCTCTCTCTCTCTCTCTTTCTCTCTCTCTCTCTCTCTCTCTCTGTGTGTGTGTGTGTGTCTGCATGTGTGCGTACGTGCTTGTGTGTGTGCATGCGTGTGAATGTGGGCGTGCGTGCGTCCGTGTGTGTGTGTGTGTGTGTGTGTGTGTGTGTGCGCATGTGACTGTGAGAGTATGTGTGTATGAACGTGTAAGGATAAACAAAAGATGTGTAAGATGCATAAAACTCACATCTGTTCATCCTTCCCGGCGCACGGTATGTTGATGCCGCAGTCAGGACCTTTGAACACCACATCTTCGGCGATGATGTGCGGATTGTTGTTGAGGTGCGGCGCAGAGTTTACGAACGGCAGCCTCTTGGCGCGCGATGAGTTTTTACCCGACAGTGTGATTGTTTCTTTGCCTGTAAACGTTAAGAAAATATATAATACACTATAATATATAACATGTACTTGCTACTTTGCCGCGTGGTCCCGGCGTAGATTAGACCACCCCTTCCTTTCCCGTGAGTGACGTAAGAGGTGACTAAGGTAATTTAATAGTTGAAGGACTTGCCGCAGCGTCCCGTTTGAAACATATACCAAAGGCTAACTATTTAAGTCTATAAGAATTGTATCAATAATTCCCTTTATGAAAATACCCTACTAAGATATTATGTATTATTTATTTATGTATTAATGTTTTAAGTATGTGACGTATTTTAAAAAATTAGGGTAAGATGAGGTTGACATATCCTTATAGGATAAAAACCTCTAAATAAAAAAGATAAAAAAAAAACTAGTAAGAAAAAATACATCCGGTAGGTGGCCGTAGTGGTAAATTACCTATTTACCAGTCAGCAATTGGTCAATTTGACCACTGACACTAATGGCTACCGATGATCATGATTGGACATAATTTTGCATAATTTTGTCAACAACCATCATTAACTATGGAAATTTTAACCGACTGCAACATCAAATAGGTAATAATGGTGTGGCGTCGCGAGATCCTAACACCAGTGCTCTTAAAAAGAAGTATAACTCTGCCTCTAGGTCTTTCAAAAGAGTTATAGCCACAGCGAAGTCAGAGCATATTAGTAGAATTGGCAAGAGACTGGCTAGTTTGCCCTCTGGGACTCGAGCTTTTTTTGAAAGCTGCACAAAGGGAATTTCTGTAAGTCATCTTTTCCACCTTTGCGCAGGGAGGATGACTTTGGCCCAGAACGCTAAAGAAAAGGCCGATCTTCTTGGATCCATCTTTGCGTCAAACTCGACATTGGATGACTGGGAGAAACCACCACCGACCATCACGTGTTGATGACATGGGAGCTCTATGCCTGACATTAAATCTCTCTCTCTCTCTCTCTCTCTCTCTCTCTCTCTCTCTCGTGTGTGTGTGTGTGTATTCCTCCATGTGTGCTTAGGACGTGCGCACCAGTGTGTGTGCTTACGTCTTTTTCGGCTTAGCTACTCATCGGGCATAGTCCCAAAGTGTGTGTGTGTGTGTGGTGCATCCGATCCCTAAAAATGGGTAGATCGCTCAGATCCAGCTAACTATAATAGCTATCACTTCCTTATTCTCGAAGGTTATGGAATCCATCATTAACCGTCAACTGCTCATCCTTCCCGAGCACCGGCTGATCTGTGATCGCCAGTATGGCTTTCGACAGGGACGTTCGGCCGGTGATCTTTTAGCTTACTTAACACACCGATGGGCAGTGGCAATCGAGCGAGAGGCCTGCATTAGTCTGGATATTGTTGTTGATCGGGTGTGGCGAGCGCTGCTTTCAAAGCTACCTTCATTTGGGTTGCCTGCGAGACTGTGCATTTGGCGCGTTTTCTCAAGGAACGTAGCATTAAGGTCGTAGTCGACGGTGCATGCTCTGATTTAAAACCTTTGAATGCTGGTGTCCCGCAAGGCTGTGTACTATCTCCGACTCTGTTTCTTCTGCATATCAATGATATGTTACAGATAAGTAATATTCATATATAAGATACATTATATACTATAATATATACATACCGATGAGTACTTGCTAAACTTCACTCCATCAAGTTTCGATCTGGGGTGAACAAAATCTTGTCCAATTTAACCCCAAAAAGACACAAGTCTGCGCGTTTACCGCAAAAAAGACGCCGTTTGTCGTATCTCCTCACTTTCAGGGCACTTCCCTTGATAAAAAGTCAAGTCTAGGAATTCTGGGCGTTGATATATCTTGCGACGTCCAGTTTGAAACATCTGGAGGAAGGCTAAGATAGCTTCCAAAAAGTTAGGAGTGCTCAATAGGGTGAGACGATATTTCATGCCAGAACATGAAATTATATAAAGCCCAAGTCATTATGGAATACTGTTCTCACCTTATGTACAGTACCAACTGTTTTAACCGCATTCAAAGTCGGGCGTTTTATCGATAGTCAACGCCTTTTCCGACTTGACCCATTGAAACTGCGCAGAGATGTTGCGTCTCTGTGCATCTTCTACCGAATTTATCATGGGGAGTGTTCTGAGGAATTGTTCGGATTGATACCTGCTGCTGATTTTCACCACCGTACAAAAAAACAAAGTTTCATCCCAATCATCTGGACGAGTGGCGGTCTTCCACCGTGCGTTTTTCAAGGCACTTTCTTCCACGCACAACCATTCTTTGGAATCAACTTCCAGCAGCAGTATTTCCGAACCGATACGACAACATAACCTTCAAGAAAAGAGTATATTCCTTTTTAAAAGGCCGGCAGCACACCTGCAATGCCGCTGGTGTTGTGTGTGATCATGGGCGGCGGTAGTCATTACCATCAGGTGAGCCGCATTTTTGCCCCCTGTGTTGTAAAAAAAAAAAAAAAAAATGGAGGTTTTATACTGTAAATAGTGTAATCTTGGTGCGTAACATAATTATTTGAAAAATTAGGCACTGTACTGATCTTTATATGATTCCATAGAAACCTATTGTATAAATGCCAGCCTTTTTTGCTACTTGGAATGATAAACGAGCCCACAGTTCGAGATAAAAGTAAGAGTCAATATAGAATTAGTAGGGGCGAAAGGGATTGTTAGTAATGGAGACTGAGAATCCTATTGCTAGCAATATACCCAACCAGGTCGACCTCCTCGCGGTTCTCCCTGGAAACTATCATGGTTAATTCCTGATGAATTCAGAATGATGGGCTAACTGGCCTGTTTTCATTCTCATCTATCACCCTTCACTGGTGCTCCGCCAGCGTATCCCGTTAGCGCAGGCGGGGTTACCATACCATTTTCACTCATCAAAAAAAAAAACTAAAGCCTAAACATTTGGTTTGGACAGGTGAGCCCGTTCTTGAGTAATAAAATTACAACAAAAATTGTCATTAATTTATATATATATATATATATATATATATATATATATATATATATATATATATATATATATATATATATATATGTATATAGATTGACAAATTATAAAAGATTGATATTTCTGGATAAATATATTACAATAATTATTATATTATTATATCTGTACAATTAGCGTTTAGAAATTTGACATGTTATTTTATTATATTATTATTATTTTTTATTACATATCAAGGGATTATTTTGTCATAACTTTTGTAATGACTGTTGCACGTCAGTAATGATAAAATGTGTGAAACCATTGTAAATACTACCATATGATCTCATTTTTTCACACTAGGCACCAGTGAGGAATGATAGGTAAGGATGTAGGGGCAAGTCAGTTAGCCCATCGTGATAAATACACTTGGAATTCAGCACGATGGTTTCCAGGGGGGACCATGGGGAGGTCGATCTGTTAGGGTATATTGTTAGCTGATAATCCGCATTACTAATAATCCTTTCCCCCCCCCCCCTACCACATATGAATTTATTGTACAACATTTTTAGCAACAAAATTCATTCATCTATTCATTCATTCAATAAATTACAATGTTATGTCAAAATGTGCTATTATTAGTAAAATAGATCATGCTCTGCATTGTTCAACTGGTGATTAGTGCCTTCTAGACGTCTTCTAGAAGTAGATTTCATTGGTTCTTCTACTTCTGAAATCCACGTGTGCGAAATCACGAGCAAAAATATAGTTCTACACATAATATGCATACAAAAATATACAGACGAATTTAAAACCACCTTCTTTTACATAGGTATCGTTTAAAATCGGAATTTTAATTAAAAACAGATGTTCTTAGGTTGTTACGAGCTGTTTTTGTTTATCAGCAACGCTTAACCTTGTTCCAGTTTTGTTTTTATGTCTATTTATATTGTCATGCTATATGGTTCATTGACTGGTAAAGTTGAACAATGTTTATAATAGACTGCAGGGGGGGAAGGGGTTGTTAGTAATGGAGACTAGGAATCCCATTGCTAGCAATATACCCAACCAGGACGACCTCCTCGCGGTTCCCCCTGGAAACTATCATGGTTAATTCCTGATGAATTCATTATGATGGGCTAACTGGCCTGTTTTCATCCTCATCGATCACCCTTCTTAACTGGTGCTCCGCCAGCGTATCCCGTTAGCGCAGGCGGGGTTACCATACCATTTTCATCCAATAAAAAAAAATAGACTGCAGCAGGTGGAAAGGGATTGTTAGTAATGGGATCTAACAGCGTCATTGCTAGCAATGTACCTTTGGTTGTGTCAGGAAAAAAATGGGGAAAATGCGTGGGGGCCAAACAACACCATTACTAGTAAGAAACGCTATCTGATTGACATCCAAACCCTGATGAAATGCTATGATTTCCTGAAAACCATACATTAACATTACCATTACATTATCCCTTATTAAAAAAAGTAATGGGTACTGATGGCCCCATTGTTATTCCTAGAGAATTACGATGGATGGTTTGATACAAACAATGATATAAAATTTCCGTCCTTAAAAATGGCTACCAAAGCCTAACTACGATTGCCAATCCGCTTGCCAAACGTGGCAACTACTGGAGAAAACCCCCAAGGAGGAAATTTATATTTAGCAGTGGACAGTTAAAGGCTGATATGATGATATATGAACGAATAAATAAAAAAAAAAAGAAAAGCTAGTGGGAGTGAGATACCCATGCAAATAACAAAAACTAACAAAAAACCGATTACCTTTTACAATTACTGTTTTTTTTTTTTTATTCCCTTCAACTATAAACGAAGCCTTCAACATAATACCACTATTACGAACATTAAAAAAACATTAGTCAAATCGTTGTAACCATTTTAAATAGATATACGTTTTCCAACGAAAAACGTTTCCCCAAAAGAGAAGATTCATAATTATGAATCTCTGATGAATGAATTATTAATGAATCGAATTCGTCTATTATACACCTGGTGGTAGGTTTTTGTTTATTTTATTTTTATTTTATTTATTTATTTATTTAAGGAACACCAACAGTATATTGCATTATAACATATAGGTATAACAAACATTAAATACAATATAATGTTAATGCACATGCCTATTATAGGTATTCACAGCATTCACTTTAACATAGTTATACAGTGCGAGAAAATGATTATTTATTTATTTATACTTTTGCACTTAATGCCTGATGGCATTCTCTACCAGTCAACCGTTACGCTAAACAGAGTAAATGGCGGTGCATTGATCTAACAAAAACAATTTGTAACTTAAATAAATATTTTGAGAGATAACAACATTAATACATTTTAAGATGAATGCACATATAAACATATAGAATACTTATAAAAATTATATGTACATAAATCACATACAATATATATATATATATATATATATATATATATATATTATTCAACTTAGAACAAAGGCGTTTCGATAGCGGATCGAGAGTCGTACGAGACCGGCGTTATAGCGTGTAACCGGCCCAAACACAATTGCGGATTCTAAATTTAAATATTTACAGTATGTGTGAACCAGTCTATTGCTTGGGTACCTCTGTCCCATTCGTTTTTCTACCGTGAAGCAGTTGTGTTTGCATGGCTGTGTTTCGATTTGAAGGGTGGGATATGGCGTGAATTTACTGGGTACAGAGAAATAACACCTGAGTCCTCAGGAATTGCAACGCATGGGGGGTATCATGGGCGAAACAGTATACTCTGTTATGTCCATGGTACTGCTCACGTCTATAGGCGACGGTTACCACTTTCCATCAGGTGGGCCGTCAGCTTGTTTGCCATTCTAAGTTGCATAAAAAAATCATCTTCTCGTTCATAGATGTATTTTTTAATTTCTTTTTTTCTTTAAAAGCAAAATTTACTTATCATTTTCTATAACAAGAAAATTGGCATTTACAAAGATATCTAGATTGTTACACATTTATATTTTAAACTGTTGAATGAAATTGATATAATTTGGTAAACATATAGACTATATATTAAATAACTACCACTTACATAAGATGTTTTTAACTAAATTCACGCGAGCAAATCGTGGGAGATACAGGTGTTTTTTATAGTCGCTAAAATTGATTACAGTACAGTTTGGCAGTATAGCCGAGCCCGGAAGAAGTTGCAAACGAAACTAGATTAGTATTGTGTATCGTTCCAACAATACTTTTATTACACAGTATATAGTTGGCATTATAGTATTTCCTTAAAAATAAATTAGGTTGTTGTTTATCTTCAATTATATGTATATATATATAGCTTTTAACTGTCCACTGCTGAACATAATATATATATATATATATATATATATATATATATATACTTTCGAAATATAATCGATAATCGTTGTTTTCCTCAATACAAATTTGGCAACCTTACTCCCGGTGACACCTGCCCTTGAGCCGCCTCCTTGAATTACTCAGTATAAGGCGCTCTGCAAACTTGACCATTTTTAATACTTTTTTTTTCCACAGTTATCTTTATAAAAATAATAAATAATCTTTATTCAAGTAAACTTAATAATAAATATTTTGAATAGTATTTTTTATAAACTACCGCCCAGTTCGGAATGCAATTTCAGTTGAGAAGAACGGTCAAGAAACACAGCTGTTGCTCTTTTCAAATATGAGTTAAGTTTACGACAAAAAAATTAAAATTTAATATATATAAGAAATAAAGAAATCTAAATAATTGTGATAAGAATTTATTATTATTATGTATATATATATATATATATATATATATATATATATATATATATACTAGCTGACCCCGTAAATGTTGTTTCACCACTTATTGCGAAATATAAAAATCGCGATTAAAATACAGGGGTTGATCATAAAACGAAAAAAATTTAAAGTTGTATGTATTTTTTTATGCGTTCGTGATTCACTGTTCTTCCCAAAGGTTGACTGGTAGAGAATGCTACTAGCAACAAGTCCGCCTTTTGTACCATATTTTATTTTGGTCAATAAAATTATTTAAATAAATAAATAAAAAAGAAATAACAAAAAAAGACAGCGATTGAAATTGTAAAAAAAATTTTCAAGAATTGATCACGATATTGCGGAGTAACATAAAAAAATATTAAGAAGTTTGGAGAGTTTCTTGCTTTTAAAAATATTTTAAAAATTGTCTTTGACTGGTGTTTAATACTAGTGTGTAACTGTGGATACGTTTGTGTAACGCCTAAATGGCGTCCTTCTGAGAAAATGAGCTGCGCATAAGTTGAAATGCAACAAAACACACGATACGATACGACATCGTACCGTCAAGAAAATAAACATTTTGAAAGGCCTCCTCTGGTGTTGCTGATACACATGGGCAGTGGTCACTTACCATCAGGTGAGCCGCATGTTCGTTTGCCCCCTGTGTTGTAAAAAAAAATCCTAAATATTGCAAGTTGCAAAAATTAGATTTGCTTTGTGGGTGAATTTTGTAAACATCATCTGTCTATTTTTATTCCAAGTACTTGGAGTCGATGTAATATGTAAAATATTGTAAATAATACTAATAAATACAACTAGCCGTGTCCCGCGGCTTCTCTTGCAGTCGTATCCTGATGTTGAATATCCTATAACCTTCGTCAAGATATAAGCTATCAAATGCATTAATAACTTTTTAAATCCTTCTGGTTGTTTTAGAGATTCACGCGTTTAAAGAAATAAACAAACTTATGTTTATATCATTAGTATAAATTAATTTATAGAATAAGGATAAACAAATTCGTGTGAGCAGGACGCTGAATTGTGTATGCAATGAAGAGAAGTAAACGAAGCATGAGTCTACCATGAAACTTAATTTCTCGAGCCAGAATTTTGTACGTACGAAGAAACACATTTAAATCAAATAAAAACCGAGCCTATAGATTCAGATAAAGAGTTATGCAATTTCATTTTTGACACTACCGTAACGTGTCTGTACGATCAAAATGGTTTTTCTTACTTTTTTATTTATTTATTTATTCATTAGTACAAATATGTGTATATGACGGGCTTAACGCTCAAAGCATTTTCTCCCAGTCAACCATATGGAAGTGTCAGAATACTCGAATGCGGTACTACTAATTATTGATATACATACATACTAAAATTACATATATAAACAAATATATATATATATATATAACAAATATACTTACACATATATGACATATACTATATTATACACAAAATTGAGAATAATGCCAAGTGCTTACTGCTCGGATAAAGTAAAAAAGTGAGCGTGAACTTTTTTTTTTTAACTTTAATAAGAAATTTTAATTTCTTCTAAATGAAAAAAAAGTTTATAGTAAGCAAACGGAATAAATGTAGCCGAAATATATGTAAATGAATGTACGAATTAAAACCTCAACAGAATCTATAGTAATTCATCTACATTATCTACACTATACAAGTAGATGATAAATAATTATTTGGGCAAATTTTTATCCCTCATATGATAAAAAATAAAATACTCGAATTGTACACGTATATTGTACAAGAAAAAAGCAGAGGAAAAAGTGACTAAATAAAAAAATTCGATTGTCGAATTTATTTATGTATAAACCACGCTCTTGCGCTTACATAAAAATAATTTGGAATTTCGAAATTTTATATTTAGAAGATTAGAATTTAACAATCAACGGCTGGCCCGAAAATAATAGAAATCATAACGCTGTGCCCACATTGTTTTGCAGCTTATCATCTATTTATATTTTATTACGCATAATACTGTCTACGTACAGTGTCTGTGTGTCGCCCGAACCGGATTTAACCGGCTCAAAATAGATCCGACGTTCGTCCAATTGGAACGCAGTCAAAAACGACCGCAGTGTAAAATGTACTTAAAATATATTGCAATGAAGTCGATATTTGATTGAAAACCGTTTGGAATTTTCTTTAGACTTCGACGTGAATTTTATCTCAGTTTAGTGTGATTTTTTTTTATGTGTTGACAATTAATTAATTTCAGGAAATTGTGTTTTTTTTACCCAAAGATAGATATGAAGTTCAAAAGTTGAGTTTTTACATAAAATAAAAATTAAATTCAGCTTTCTTGAAGACTTCTGTACTAATAAATAATATAAAGAGGAAAGATTTGATTGTTTGTTTGTAATAGATAAACTAAAAACAATTCAACTAATGTTAAAAATTCTTTCACCTATAGAAAGCTACATTATCAGAGAATAATATAGATAGATAGATAGATATAAAATTTATTTGCATTACTTACAGCACATAAATTACAACATATATAGATATACATAAAAAAACATAAATGATTAAAAAAAATACATATAGCTAAATACAATTTTTCGTTTGTGCGTGTAACCATAACAATACAAAATGGCCACAACTCAGTTTATTGCTATATATTATATTCGAAAATTCTATGCATCTGTACGAATCCGGGTCGGATCTTTGTTTTAAATAAACTGAAAAAAAAAATCACTGTGTCTATGCAGGAATCTCCTTCAATCAAACTATCGGGCTTACTTCCTTATTGGTCCCATATTAATTTTGTCACAAAGTCACTATTTTTATTACAAATAATTCAAAATTCCGCCCCGTAAAAATAAAACCGAACGAACCCTATCAATTCTGAGTAAAAATCATAAAAATAACAGCAAATAAACTAAAAAATATAAAACATTTTTTCCCTGAGACATTTGATGTTTATGTAACAAACATTTTGTGTTTACCTTTTTTACATTACACAATAAATCCCCAATTTTATGAAAGAGCGAAACCTGAGCCTTTCTGAGAAAAGAGAAAGAGGCATAAGTAGGTAAATCAATTAAAATAAAAAAAAATGCTTACCATGTTCTTTTTCGTACAGCTGCTTCAGCGACGCCAAAGCTGGATCGCGTTTCACCTCTTCGGGCAAACTCAGCCATAACTGTCCAGAGGTCAGCTCGTTACAGGACACCAGCGAGTACTCGCTCCTGGTAAGCTCCGGACTTGGCTTCCTGGAGGCACCGGTCCACTTCTTCACACTGTTCACCAGTTTGTTCATTGTTCAAATTATGATAATTAATCACTGTGCATTGTCTAATAAAATGATTATGTTATTCGATTAATTCACACCGGAATACACGGAAATTTTGACATGTTGACATATGTATTTGCTAGATTTAAAAAGATCACGTATAGATTAAGAATAATATATTAGGATCAGAAAATAATGTTTCATGAAAGGCCAATAGTTTACTATGGCCTTATATAACACTTATAGAGTATTTTTATTTATTTATTTACACATACACTAAACAAAGCTTTCAATTCAATAATATCATTAGTTAAATACAATTGCTCTTAAGAAAAATTATATAAATTATACATATTACATCTGACAAAACAACGTAGTAATGAAGAATACACAATTATATAATAACATTACTATTTTACTTTTAATTTTGAATAAAAGAAAAACATATAAAAAACAAAATGAATGTAGCAGTGTTTGCGCAAAGGACCTAACTCAGCATAATTATGTCGCAGTTTCAAATCTGAAGCTACGACACTGATTTTCAGTAGGCCCTTAATACGTAACTCACGGACACATGTGTGCAAGAGGTGTAATGTATAAATATATAAGAATAATATATAAAACAGTGATAAATATATAAGATAAACACGGGAATAAAGATAAGAGATATACATTAGAAATAGATCCAACGATGATATTTATAACAAGTTTTATCTATGCATGTATCACGACATGTATGGAACATTATTTTCTTGTATAGATGTCATAAAAGTTATATACATTTTTGTCTTTTTAAAATTTATATAAATTTTAATTTTAGTATATGGATATACTTTCGTATGTTGTTTATATTTATAATAAGTTTACTACTGTAATATTTTGGAGGAAACAATAAAGTGTATCTACGTGTATCTACCTACATGTTGCAAACTCAACATGTTTTGTGACGTGTATTTTGGTATTATAATGGGGTTAGTAGAGGATCTTGAATTTCACGAGAAATCAGTCAATAATAAATAGATTATTAATTATTACATTTATAATAACTTTATTGACCTTTTGCTAATATTTAGCCATGGAGTTTTAAACAAGAATGATCCGTGATTGATATTATGGTGTGAATCGGCCCTTATGATGCAAAGGCGGACTTAACGTTAAAGTGCATCCTCTTCTGACATGCTGTTCCGTACAAAAGAAGTACTTTTCGCGCAGAACTGTTAACGATCTAATAATGTGCCTAAAGATATCTCGTTTAAAGGTGAAACACGTGTTGCATAACGTGCGTGAATAAAATGGCAGTCGGAGATTGACGCTTTTTATGGAAGGTTGTGGAACTTCTGGTAGTAACAGTGGTGATCAATCTTCGAGTGTTGGCAGTCACACACATACTAATGGTAGCGGAATTAAACAAAATAATTCTAATCAACTAACCGGTGATATGGACTAGTTCAGTAAAATTTCTCAGGAAAAATCCACAATTTTTGTATGGGTTTTTTTATACCAATGAGGTGGCAAACAAGCATACGGCCCACCTGATGCTTAGCGGTTACCGTAACCTATGACCGTCTGCAATGCCAGGGTTATTACCCGCGCGTGTATTAAATTATGGCGTGGTATTGAAATTATGTAAAACTAGCTATTTCCCACGGCTTTGCCCGCGTGCATCAGTATACAGAAGATCCTATGTATAAAGTAAGGTATAACCTACTCGTGTAGTCAATTTTAATTCAAATTCGTTCCGCCGTTTATGCGTCATAGTGTAACAAATATCCAAACATTTTTAGAAGTTTTCACATTTGAACATAGCCTCCCCCATGAGCTGGGTTTTGCCAGTAGTTGCCACGCTTGGCAAGCGGGTTGGCAACTGCAGTTTGGCTTTTGGTGATATTTTAAGATACACGCTATTGCTCATCGCTCTATCTAAGCTCCCGTATTCGCCTTTAACGATATCCACGGGAAAGGAAGGGGTGATCCATCCTATGCCGGGGCCTACAGGGTAAATTTTGTACATTAAATATATAAATAATCTACGGGCAGATAAGTGAAGATAGTCACTTGTTTACGTGAATGTACGCTTCAGAACAAATAAAACAATACACAATTATACTGTGCTGCTCACATCACCACTCGAGTGACGTCGCTGTTATGAACAAAGTGAGTCGTACGACAGATTACATTATCTCATCATTCATACTGAAATACGTACACCAACGTATAAAGTGCCCAGGAATGGCAACATGACGTGACGGATCCCATTGATATTCTATGATATGTTCATGGTATAACTATAAGATCGCTTGTAGATATTCTTTATACCACTTAAACATATAGTAATAACAACAAATTAGTAACAAAGTTAGTAAAGGCGACTTTTCTTTTCTTCTTACCAGTGGGAGACTTTGTACAAAAGTCAATTGCTTGGGTACCTCTGTCCCATTCGTGTTTCAACCGTGAAGCAGTTGTGTTTGCATGGCTGTGTTTCGGTTTAAAGGGTGGGATATGGCGTGAATTTACAGGGTACAGAGGAATAACACCTGAGTCCTCAGGAATGGCAACGCATGGGGGGTATCATGGGCGGAAACAGTATACTCTGTTATGTCCATGGTACTGCTCGTGTCTATAGGCGACGGTTACCACTTTCCATCAGGTGGATAGTTAGCTTGTTTGCCATTCTAAGTTGTATATAAAAAAAGAGATTTCTTCCAGTCAACCTAACACAGTGGCTTAGGAAGTAGTGAGTGGGCAGTTGTAGTTGTAGTTGTTGTGTTGTAGCTAAATTTGATTTTTATTATTATTTTTTTTAATGTGTGATAATGGAATAGTAGCCCCGCCTGCACTATCGGTATACGCTGACGAGACACCAGTGAGGGATGATAAGTGACGATGAAAAAGCAGGTCAGTTAGCCAATCGTGACGAATTCCACTAGAATTAATCACGATAGTTTCCAGGGGGAACCGCGTGGAGGTCGACCTGATAGGGTGTGTTGCTAGTTATAGGGAAATCAGACCCCATTATTAACAATCCTTTTCCCCCCACTTGATATTAATTGTTGACATTTCGACATGCACTGCACCACGTCATGGTTACGACAGGACTGAAGTGAGTCCTCTTCTGGCAACCCGCGCAGTCTTGAATATGAGGGTAGCCGAAAAGACTGCGCAGACTGCCAAAAGGAGTCGAGTGTTGACAGTGTATTTAAAATAAGCGTTGTCTTAGATTATATAGATAGAGCATCGAACCTCAAAAACGGACCAACATTTGTCAAATTAGCTGACGCGTTTTTTTTGATTAATGTTCTATATACTTACGCAGAAACAAAATAAATGTTGAAGTTATAAAGGAATCACTCATAACTATTTATCACGCAAAATTGTATGAAAAAGTTGACCCATTTTTTTCTCGAAGCATTTGTATGGAGACGCTCTATCTATATGGGGGGAAAGGGATTGTTAGTAATGAGGTCTAATAGCCCCATTGCTAGCAGTATACCCTCTATGTCGACCACCACGCGGTTCCCCTTGGAAACCATCATGGTTAATTCTTGTCGAATTCATCATGGCGGGCCAACTGATCTGCATTCATTCTTACCTATCATCTTCCACTGGTGCCTCGTCGCCATATACCGATAGCGCGGGCGGGGTTTTTTTTAATTGGTGATAATGGAATAGTATCCCTGCCAGCGCTATCGGTATACGCTGGCGGGGCACCAGTGAAGAATGATAGATGAGGATGAATCGCGGGCGGGGTTACCATTCCATTTTCACCCACCTACCCGTGTAACGTGTTAATCTATACTTATAATAAATCTGTAGAGAGGTTAATTCCTTACATGAAATATATTTCCAAAATCACTATCAGGGAGTGATTAGTGATCGATACTGATACCAAAAATGCAATCAGTAAATTTTGTCTGTCTGTCTGTATGTTCGTTGTAGAAACAAAAACTACTCGACGGATTTTAACGAAACTTGGTACAATTATTCTTCATACTCCTGGGCAGGTTACAGTATACTTTTTATCACGTTACGATCCATAGGAGCAGAGCAGTGAAGGGAAATGTTGGGGAAACGGGAGAAGTTACTCCATTTTTAAGCTTCCGTCGCGTGTGCAGACTTAATGGCCACTTTTTAAAATGTAAAAATGACCACCCGTGCGAAGCCGGAACGGGCCGCTAGTATTATAATAATTTAATATGACGGACTGTTTGTTACAATAATATTAACAATATATATATATATATATATATATATATATATATATATATATATATATATATATATATATATATATATATATATATATATATATATATATATGCATTATGATAAGAAACTTACTCGGTTATATCCGATGATATTTCTAACTCGATGTACTCCATTGTACGTTTTATATCTTCATTATTATTGTTATGTAAATTGTTTTTTGAACATAACCTATCGTAAAACAATACTTTGTTTACCTTTAAAGAACAATTAGTACCTTATTTTAATATTAACAAAGTGTTTATCCGTTTTTGACGTCAAATTCACACCTGTAGATTCTTTTGTCCGAAGCTGTCTTCATTCACAAAGTTAGGCACCATTGTGATGGATAATTCAAATATTTCATATTTATTTTGTGTATACAATTTTATTTTTCATCTTTTTAAATGTCTCGATTCTCGACCATTGTTCTAGATTTAACATTACTTCGACTACTTGTATAGTTAAAGATTGTGCCCCACAAATAAAACCGTGAAAAAAAATTATTTTCATGTGAAAGCTAAACTAAATCGATTTTCATAAAATATCTATGCAACCAATCTGTAATTATTATATATTCTCTCAAATTTAAAAAGGGAAAATTTTATTGTTTTTTTTTTTTTATAGTGGATAAACTCAAAAATTACTCAATAATTTTTAAAAATTCTTTCACCTATATAAAATTAAATTATCAAAAAGTAACATGGGTTATTTAATTATTTTAAAAATTCTATCTACCCATGCGAAACCGGGTCGGATAGCTACTATTTAAGACAATATTTAAATAATATTGATTTTGACAATTTTAATCGCGATTTAAATTCTATTGATTGGGAAGGTATTGGCGAGCTTCCGTCTGTCGATGCTATGGTTGATAGATTTAATACAACGATTAAA